TCCCCCCATCACCCCCACCATCACCCCACACCTCCCGCCCATCACCCCCACCCTCCCCCCATCACCCCCCCCATCATCCCACCCTCCCCATCACCCCCACCCTCCCCTCCATCACCCCCACCTCCCCCATCACCCCCCACGCATCACCCCCACCTCCCCCCATCACCCCCTCTCCCCCCCATCACCCCCACCCTCCCCCCCATCACCCCACCCTCCCCCCCATCACCCCCCCTCTCCCCCCCCATCACCCCCCTCTCCCCCCCTCTCCCCCCCATCACCGCCTGTAATTCAGTGGAAAGAAAAATTCCAGGTTTGGGGACAATTAAAGAGAGAAAATAAGTAAAACCTCCTGATCGGTTTAGTTTGTTTTCGTTACAGGATGAATAATAATTGCCGATGGTGTGTGTGTGTGGGGGGGTGTGGGGGGTGTGGGGGGAACAACAACAACAAAAAAAATGAAATGTTCGGCCCCTTACCTCGTGCCGACAAATATCCGAGGTGTGGTGTCGGTGTGACCTGACGGCCATTGCTGAGCCGCGCAGTGCCTCTGGTCTGTGCCCCTCTCTCCCTCTCTCCTGGTCGCTCACTGCCTTCTGAGTGTCTGCTGCCCCTGGTCCTGACAGTGCTGACTGCTGCCTCACTCACACTGACTCTGCCTGACTCCTCCCACCCCCCCCCCCACCTGCACACTGCCCCCCCCCCCACCTGCTCACTCACCCCCCCACCTGCTCACTCCCTGCCCCCCCTGCACACTCCCTGCCCCCCCCCCTGCTCACTCCCTGCCCCCCCCCACCTGCTCACTCCCCCCCCTGCTCACTGCCCCCCCCCCCTGCTCACTCCCCCCCCACCTGCTCACTCCCTGCCCCCACCTGCCACTGCCCCCCCACCTGCTCACTGCCCCCCCACCTGCTCACTCCCTGCCCCCCACCTGCTCACTCCCCCCCCCACCTGCTCACTCCTGCCCCCCCTGCTCACTGCCCCCCCCCACCTGCTCACTCCCTGCCCCCCCTGCACACTCCCTGCCCCCCACCTGCTCACTCCCTGCCCCCCCCACCTGCTCACTCCCCCCCCACCTGCTCACTCCCCCCCCCACCTGCTCACTGCCCCCCCACCTGCTCACTCCCTGCCCCCCCACCTGCTCACTCCCTGCCCCCCCACTGCTCACTCCCCCCCCCGCTCACTCCCTGCTCACTCCCGCCCCCCCGCTCACTCCCTGCTTACTCCCCGCCCCCCCCACCTGCTCACTCCCCCCCCTGCTCACTCCCCGCCCCCCACCTGCTCACTCCCTGCCCCCCCCCACCTGCTCACTCCCCCCCCTGCTCATTCCCTCCCCCCCCCGCTCACTCCCTGCCCCCCCCAAAGAAAGTTCAGTTCTGCTTGTCACCATTAGTACCTGAAGGCCTCGGTAAACCCCATGCTTTATTTGACAGTTATGGAATTTTGCTGATTCTATGCCATTCAATCCTCTACAGTCCTGTTAAATCAGCTGTTTAAACCACTTTGAGATAATAATAATAATAATCCTTGCATTTGATATAGCGCTTTTCACGTCGGGAGGACGTCCCAAAGTGCTTCACAGAACACAATGTAAAGTGAATTGACTGTATATTTGTGGGTGAACGCGGCAGCCAATTGCGCACAGCAATGTTCCACAAACAGTCGTAGATTGAAAATGACCAATTTATTATTGTTTTGGGTTTTGGAGGGATTATTATTAGGTATGTGGAGTAAGGAAACTTGCCCAAGGTTTCGCTCTGCCTGGAATTGAACTCAGGTCTCTCACTTGCAAAGCGAGTGCTCTAATCACAGAGCTACAGGACTCCACAAATGGAGATGCCCTTCCGAAGTGAAAGGCACAATATAAATGTAAATTGTATTCTATTGTACATCATCAGAAGGATTTGGATGAATTGTAAATTCTCTCGCTGATTGTGAGTTAAGCAGTGGCACAAGTTCACAGCAGTTGTGCAAGTTGTCACACCAGGAACACAAAAGCTTCTACACTCTGGCTACTCATAAAAAAATGACAGGACCTGCCCCGGGGTAGGGGGAGGCTCTCCTTGTAAACAAGCTGCCTCCTTTGAAGATCATAAGGAGGTAACACTGAGTCCCTTATGGTTCCCCACTAAGTGCTCCTATTAGCAAGCATATAACACCATCGCACTCTGTAGATTTGAATGTTTGGAGGCACCCTTTGAAGTGGAATTCAGATTGTCCTGCTGTGAACAACAGATTAACTAACCCCTGTTCCAAGATAGCCTCATACACAATTAAATTGTGTCAGTCTGAATACTATTTTTTTGGAGACATAATGTAATTCTGACCAGATTTAGTAAGATGTTTTCTATTCCTCTATACTAGGCATTAGTATCAGTGGAGTCCTGTAGTATTAGTGGAGTCCTGTAGCTCAGTGGTTAGAGCACTCGCCTTGCAAGCGAGATACTTGGGTTCAATTCCAGGCAGAGGGCGAAACCTTGGGCAAGTTTCCTTACTCCACACGCCTAATAATAATCCCTTCAAAAACCAAACAATAATAAATTGGTCGTTTTTAATCCACAACTGTTTGTGGGACACTGCTGTGCGCAATTGGCTGCCGTGTTTCGCCCACAAATATACATTCAATTCACCTTACAGCCTATTCTGTGAAACGCTTTGAGATGTCTAGAAGACGTGAAAAGTGCTATATCAAATGCAAGGATTATTATTTATTATTATTATTATCAAGATTGTTATACAGGCCATTTGAATGATGAGAAGACAAATTGGCTTCCAGATATCTGGAGTGCCATTCTGTAAAATGACTTTTGTGAGGAGGTGCCCTCCTTCCACACTGCCCGCCACCACCAACCCTCTTCCACCTCCCCTCTCTTCCACCCCCACCCATTACACCGCCCCCACTCTACTTTTCACCCACCTCTCTCTCACACCTTCCTAATGTGAGGAATTCCACTTGGTTGCTTCACAGAGCTGAATTCAGCAAATCTTATTGTGTGAGATTTGGATGTGAGCCTGCATTTTAGCACCGAGAGACATAGGGAGCTCAAGATTTAACATCTGTGCCACATCACTGCCCATATTTATTTTTTAAACAGTATGAAATAGTTTTAACCAGGCTGAGTTTTTAAAAAAAGATTTTTGCAGGAGTCAGCTCAATTGATGTGGTTGTTGTGAGCTCAGAAAACTTGAACAATATTTGAACAAATACTTATGTTTCCGAACTGCTCCAGTTCTCACTTCTCTTTTCGAATAATGCCTTCAGATATTTAATGTTCACATGAATGGGTAGATAGGACCTTGGTTTAATGTCTCATCTGAAGAATGGCACTCCAGAGGTTTGGAAGCTAGTTTGCCTTCTCATCATTCAAATGGCCAGTATAACAATCTTATACAATAATCCTTTATTTAATATTGTGCCTTATCATGTTGTTGAGACATCTCAAAGCGCTTCACAGAATATACTGTAAAGTATAGTGACTATGTATTTTGCGGGTGAAACGTGGCAGCCAATTGCGCACAGCAGTATCCCACAAACAGTTTTGGATTGAATGACAAAACTATTATTTTTTTTGCAGGGCTTGAGTATGTGACCGAGCCTTCAGCTCCCCTCTCGACTCTCTTCCCCCTCCTCGCTCCCTCCCTTCCCTCCCCTTACCCTGACCATTTCCCCCCTCCTCGCTCCCTCCCTTCCCTCCCCTCACCCTGACCATTTCCCCCCTGCTCGGGTCATGACCCAACTGTGCAGCGCCTTGGGACGTCGTCCTGACGTGAAAGGCGCTTTATAAATGGAATCTTGTTGTTGTTGTTTTATGTGTGTTCAAAGTCCCAACGTGGGGCTTGAACCACAACCTTCTGACTCAGAGATGATAGTTCCATCAACTGAGCCAGGCTGAAACCGGAATATTACAAGACCTAGCTATTGAACAAAATTGCCCTGTCCTATGCTCTAATTTGAGTTTTCTTCTCTAAAAATCTCTAGAAGTCACTATTGTGTATTGCCTTTTAAGTTAGTTCCTGAATATAAATTAGAGTGATAATCTGTATTAGATGTAGCACCTTATTTTATCATTGAAATATCTCAAGGCACTTACTCAGCAAGATTTTACTGCGAACTGTAGAGACTGTGTACAAGTTATATTCAGAAAGGTAATTATTTGATTCTGAAATCAGGCAGCTATTTTCCTGGGGGTGATCTAAAAAATACTGTAGTATGTACATAGCTTTTTTACAAGATCTGCACCATACTTGCTAACAGTTCTGGTTTTATAGAACGCGTCTTGTTTTCACGTATATCAAAAACAATATAAGGGAAGTTAACTTCAGTTACTTTAATGGACCACTGCCATGGAATGTTGCAGGAGTACAATTTTTGGATGTTGCCAACCATGCTTGAGGTAATTTGTTCCCAACAGGCAGTCCATAATTGTCGTAGTCTAAAGCACAAAGAATGCCCCAGAACGGTGAGGCTTGATCTTCATGAATACAAGAGCATGCATGGGGTGGGATGGGTGGGGGGGTGGGGGGGGGTGTTGGTGTGGAGCAGAAATACAGAAACGTTTCAGAAATAACAATTATGATTGACTTATTTGGTAATTAATCCACTGGAAGGATTTTTAAAGTTTGCTAAGCAATGTAAAGTAGGACTTTAGGAATCAGTAAACATTTTACATTCTTGACTTGTTATTTTTCATGGAATTTAAAATCCATGGTCTGGTGAACACACGCTGGTTTTTATTATTGTTATGAAAAGGGTTTATCACATCACATAGTACCTGAACGTCAGCACAAATTCTGTATGTCCAAAAGACTCCTAGTTATTAATGATTAACTCTGAAAATCAGGCATTCCAGCTGTTGGATGTGATAAACTCTTTTTTTTCACAGCCATCTCTAATCTCTATTGAGCTTTTTCTAGATATCTGTACTTGCATACAGCTTGACAGTTCATAACAATAATAAAAACCAGCATGTGTTCACCAGACCACAAACAAGGTTTGCTCGGTGAAAGCTCTTTGGAACATTTGATCTTAATCTTGTAGAATACCCAACCAACTGTCCTCCCGTTACAGTCTCATTCAGTTTTTTAAAACAACTGCACGATTGTGGCTTCTACCATCTTTCCTAGTAACCTGTTATAACCGTTGGTTGGAATTTGGATGTGAGCCTGCATTTTAGCACTCTGAGACACAGCGAGCTCAAGATTTAACTGTACCGCTTCGCTGTCCATATATGTCTTTTACTCAGTATGAAATAGTATTAACCAGGCTGAGATTTCTGTTAGATTCTCGCAGTACTCAGCTCAAGTGGTATAGATGTTGTGAGATTGGAAATCTTGGAGAATAACTGTTATTCCCTCGGAGAATAATAATCCCTATTCCCACCCTCCCTGCCAATCAGTCCATCACGCCCTCCTATCTCACACATTCCCCTGGCAACTGTCCCCTCTGCACCGGCCTTAAAAATGTCCGCTCCCTCTGCAACAAGGCTCTGCCCATCAATGACCACATCATTGATAAAAATATCAACATCATGGCCCTCACTGAAACCTGGATCACCCCAGGTGACACCTTCCCCCTTCACTGAGGTCCCACCACCCGATTATACCTCCCAGCATACTTCACACCATGGCAGTGATGTGGCCCTCATCTCCAGAACCTCACTTGCCCTATCCCCCTACTCCTCCGGCTCATTCCCCTCATTCGAGTACCTTACCCTCTCCCAACCTTCCAATCTTTCCCTCAAAATTCTTCTCATTCACCGCACACCCAAAACCTCCCCACCTTCATCTCTGGTGTCTCCACTCTCCTAGCATCCCTCTGCCTCTGTTCTGAACACCTCCTCATCCTCGGTAACTTCAACCTTCACTTCACTCCCTCCTGCTCTAGCTCCTTGGACTTCTCCTCTCTACTATCCTTTCACAACCTTTCCCCTCGCAACCACTCTGCCACCCATGATCATGGCCACCCACTCGACCTGGTGATTACCTGGGGCCTCAGTGTCTCGGATATCACAATCACAGACAAAGCCATCTCCGATCACCATTTCATCTTTTTTAACTCCTCAATCCCTTTCCCCACTGCCACCAAACCCACCTCCATCTCTTATTGCCCTTGGAAAAAAATCTCTCCACAACTCCCTCTCCATCATTCTCGATGTCCTTGCCCCTCCCATCTTCCGAACTGCCTCCTACTCACGAACCTCACTCTGATACACCAGCCACCTCCGTTCCCTCAAGGGTCAGGTGCAGGCCACTGAACGCACCTGGCTCAAGTCTGACCTCACGGTCCACCGGCAGATCTGGCTGGACCACATCAAAATGTATCACTTCACTCTCGCCTCCGACAAATCATCCTTCTACTCCAAGATAATCTTGGAATCAAAGGACAACCCCAGGCTCCTGTTCTCCACCACCAACCAGTTCCTCCGTCCACCCTCCCACACCTCGCCCATTCTCTCCTCAAGTGCTGACTGTGAGAAAATGCTGAATTTCTTTGTCCAAAATCGGAGGGGATCCATTCAGCTGCCTCCGCCCTCCCAAACGCCACTCCCTCCCTATCTCCCCCCCACACACCGACCCCTATCCATCCCTCTCTTCACATTTTCGAACCTTCTCCCTCCACAAGCTGTAGATCATCCAGAACTCTGAAGCTTGTGTCCTATCCCGCACCAGGCTCCGTGACCCCATCACCCCCACCCTTGCTCCAGCTCCACTGGCTCCCCATCCCTCAGAGGATAGAATTCAAAATCCTCGTCCTCACTGTCAAGGCCCTCCATGGCCTTGCCCCCTCCTACCTCTCTGACCTGCTGACCCCCATCAACTTGTCCGTTTCCTCCACTCAGCAGGCTCTGGCCTGCTCCAGATCTTTTGCCCGACCCGCCCTAACATCAGTGGCTGGGCTTTCAGCCTATCTGCCCCCCTTTGGAACTCAATCCCACAGCCACCCTCCTATCCCCCCTGTGTCTCCTTCACCTTGCTCCCTCTCTTGCCTCCTTCAAGGCACGACTCAAACCCCTCCTTTTTGGCCGTGCCTTATGCTGCCCTCCAAACCCCTCTGACCTACCTCATCCTAACCCTGCCTCCTTGTTCGGGTCCTGATTCCTGACTGTTGAGCAACTTGGGACGTTCTCCGCGCATGAAAGGCGCTTTACAAATATAATTTTGTTATTGTTGCTGTTGGTTATGAAGGTATACTTCCTGTTGTGAAATCACCTTTCACTGTGCTGCCTTGTCCTATCCTGTCTTATTACTTTGGCATAGTTTCTAGGTTTCATTGCTTTGCGACCTCATTGCTTTCCTCTGCTTTGTGTCTCGCCCATTAGAGAGACACATCAGAAACGGTCACAAGCACACAATACTCTAGGTGTGGCTCATCCATTACACTGTAGAGCTTGAATGTGACATCTGGGCATCTCACTTTAATTGGTAAATTAAGCATGTGGCTAGAGTTGTAATATAGTAGTTTAGTTTCGAATAGGGAGAGGGCTGGGATGTCAGGTACCAAAGTTTAATTTATTTCTCTATGCAGCCACTGCTGGTCCTGCCCTTCCATTCCATTAAAATACAATATAAAGCAGATAAAATGTTACAAACTTATGTGATGAGCCTTTTGGGTTTATACAATCTAATGCCACTTTATATTTTAACTTTCAGCATAAGCAAGTCATTACTGTTTATATTTTATATATAAATATTGTAGTTTTGTTGCAACACTAAAACTGTGTTTAAGATTTGTTTTTTTTTCTCTAGATTTAGAGTGCCCAAAAGATGCGACACATTTTAGATTCGCTACAAATGACAGAAATAAAAAAATATATAAATGTTCAAACGTGTAATTACAGATATGTCCAGTACCTAAATATTTATAATACAACGTCTTCAGCTTCTGAGCATGCAGCTCACTGGAAACAAAGATTCTTCCCATTCAGCTCTGCAAGCCAAAGCCCTAGCTCATATAATGGTCTTGGCCAACAAGCAGCGGAAAGCTTCCCAGACATTGCTCTCTCTCGTTGTGCAGTTTTAGGTGATTGAACTCCAGCAGTATACCAATACATACTCTGGCATCCCCAAGTCTTGGCTGTTACCAAGCTAAGCCTAATACTCTCCGGAATCAGGTAAACAAGGTGAACCCTCCAGGGAGTGCATATTCCGTTCCAGACACAAGGGAAATTCCATCTGTAGGTGGCATACATATGTGGAAATCTCAGTTTGGTTTCGAAACTCCTAAGCATGCTGATGGGTTTCCCGCTGTGTTAGAGTTACCAAAAAAATTACAGGTTAACCTGGTATGTGCAAATATGAGTGTCTGATTGACAGTGAAAACTGAATCTATCTAATCAGATGGTCAAAATCAGCTTCCGTTATAATACACAAATGGGTTATTGAATGCAAACAATAGAGCGTACAAATAAATGTGTTTGTAAACTGTGCCAAGTGAAGGGCACTATATGAATGCAAATTGTTATTTTGGTTTCAATAAACAGAATTTTTTATTTTTTGCTCTAGTGACTTCTACTAGAAGAGACTTTGGCTCATTTCATTCATCAAATGTGCAAGAACTTCTTGGAGAAATGAAGGTTTGATTACAGTACTGACATTTTCTTGAAGGTCAACATATTTTATCATAATGATATTTCAGAGGATCAGTAATGATAATAATAATAATAATAATAATAATAATAATAATAATAATAATAGTAATAATAACAATAATAATAATCCTTGCATTTTATATAGCACCTTATCACGTCTTCGAGACATCTCAAAGTGCTTCACAGAATATACTGTAAAGTGAATTGACTGTATATTTTGTGGGAGAATCGTGCAGAACAGTGTCCCACAAACAGTCGTGGATTGAAGTGACCAATTAAATTTTTTTTTAAGGAATTATTACTCCCGGAAAAGCGATCTGCCAATCGGGTCCTACTTACTGCTAGGTAAACAGGAGTGTGGAGGAAGGAAACTTGCCCAACATTTCTCTCTACCGGGAATCGAACCCAGGTCTCTAATTTAGAGATCAGTATCAACAAGAATTTCAAATATGTAGAAGAAATTCCTGTTCGTAAACTAATTTTAAAAATTCAAAGTGGTCTCAGAATGAGCAGTTATTGTAACCTCCAAAACAACAATAACAACAACAAATTGCATTTATATAGGGCCCTCCATGCCGGGTGGTGTGTCAGAGCGCTTAACAATGGCGGAGCCCGAGGTCAAGACAGGGGGAGGGAGAAGGTGACTGTAGGCACAGTCGAAGAGGAAGGTCTTCAGGCGCGACCTGAAGATGGGGAAGGAAGGGATGAGGCGAAGGGGTTGATCGAGGGAGTGTCCAAAGTTTCGGGGTGTAGAGGCTGACGGCATGGTTGCTGATGGTGGAGAGGAGGATTTGGGGGCATGGAGGAGGCTGGACCCAGTAGAATGGAGGCAGCGGGTACTGCTGTGGGGAGAGAGGAGGTTAGAGAGATAGGGGGGTACCAAGGAACGGAGGGATTTAAACAATAAAGTGAGGATCTTCCAGTTGATCCGCTCTGTGGGAGTCAGTGGAGTTTGGCAAGGACTGGAGTAATCGGGGTATGAAGTTTGGTGCGGGTAAGAATGCGGGCGGCGGAGTTTTGAATGAGCTGAATTTTGTGAATAGTGGAGGAGGGGAGACCAGCGAGGAGGGTGTTAGAGTAGTCCAGCTGAGAGGTAACAAAGGCATGGACAAGGGTTTAGGCAGCTTTTGGGGTGAGATATTGTCGGAGATGGGCAATGTGGTGGAGGTGGAAGAAAGCGGTGCTGATCAGGGACCGGATGTGGGGAAGGAAGGATAACTGGGGATCGAACCTGACGCCTAAGTTGCGCAAGGGTTCAAAGAGTTTTAAGGACAGGTCGGGTAGGTTGAGGAGGTCGGAACTGTGGGGCATAAGATGTCGGCGGGAGCCAAACAGTATGGCTTCCATCTTGTTAACGTTTAACTGCAAGAAATTTGTGCTCATCCAGCTCCTGATGCCCAACAGACAAGCTGACAGAACATCAGGGGACTGGTGGTCGCAGCTGAAAGTGGAAAAGTAGAGTTGAGTGTCATCCGCAAACATTTAGAAGTTAACTCCGTGTCTGCGGATGACATCACCGAGAGGGAGCATATAGATAAGGAAGAGAAAGGGACCAAGGATGGATCCTTGGGGTACCCCGCAGGTGACCGGGTGGAAGCGCGAAGAAAAGCCATTTGCAGAAATGTAGTGCTGGCGGTTTGTAAGGTAGAACTCAAACCAAGTGAATGCGGTGCCACTGAGGTGGATGATGGAGGACAGGTGGTGGAGGAGGATGGCGTGATTGACTGTGTCGAACACGGCGGAGAGCTCCAGGAGGAAGAGGATGCAGAGGGAGCCCTGGTCACAGATAGAGAGGATATCATTTGTGAACTTCACGAAGCCTGTCTCTGTACTGTTGGGCAAAAACCGGACTGCAGGGGTTCGAGTAGGGTGTGGAGGGAGAGGTGTGCGCAAAGTTAGTTGGCAACAACGTGTTCCAGAGTTTTGGTAAGGAAGGGCAGGTTTGAGATAGGGCGGTAGTGTCTGAGGTTGGAGGGATTGAGGGTAGGATTTTTAAGGAGGGGGGTGATGACTACGGTTTTGAGAGTGAGTGGGATTAATCCTGAGGAGGGAGACTGGTTAATAGTATCTGCCAGCACTGGACAGAGGAAGGGGAGCTGAGTGATCAGCAGTTGGTGGGAAGGGGATCAAGGCAGCAGGTGGTGGGTTTCATTGTGGCGATGGTGGATAAGAAGGAGGTGGGGGCAAATCAATCAAATGAATGTAGGATGGGGGCCATGGTAGGAGCTGAGGGTGGGGTGGGTGAGGGAGTCGGGATGGGGGTGGTGGTAGGCGACACGGGGCAGAAGGATGAAGCTACCAGTGATGTTGCAAGAGTTCGAAAAGGTCTGGATCGGTGCTTTTGTGTACCAGCTGGATTGGATTGGCTGAATGGTCACTTTCTGAGCTTTTCCTTCTGTGAATCTAGAAATGTCAATGTGAAGACTGTGTACTTGAATGTTTTTTTCCCCAATAGCACATTGCAGGCTCTCATTGATTTCAGTGGGAAAGCCATTGCTTTCTTAGAAGGTCGTGGGTTGAGTCCCCATTCTTTGCTGAATTAGCTGTTTCACCAAGAGCAACAGTTGAGGCGCTACAATTGACTTCAGAGCCTACTGTTATGTTATCATAGTGCCTCATATGCTTCTCTACTTTTTTTGATGAAGTAACGGAGAGAGTGGATGAAGGTAGTGCAGTTGATGTAGTTTATATGGATTTTCAAAAGGTGTTTGATAAAGTGCCAAATAACAGACAGAAAGCAGAGAGTGGTGGTGAATGGTTGTTTTTCTGACTGGAGGGAAGTGTGCAGTGGTGTCCCCCAGAGGTCACTATTGGGACCACTGCTGTTTCCTTACTCCACACACCTAATTATAATCCCTCAAGAAAAAAACAATAATAAATTGGTCATGTCAATCCACAACTGTTTGTGGGACACTGCTGTGCGCAATTTAGCTGCCGCATTTCACCCACAAATATACAGCCAATTCACTTTACCAAGCCAGCCAAGAACCTAGGTGTCTTGTTCGACCCTCAACTGTCTTTTCTCCCCTACATTCAAGCCATGACCTGCTCTGCCTTCCCTCACCTCCGTAACATCACCCGACTCCGCCACTACCTCACCCCTCAGGCCACTGAAACTCTTGTTCATGCCTTCATCACCTCCAGCTCGCCTATGCAAACGCTCTGCTTGTTGGCCTTCCCAACTCCTCCCTCCACAGGCTGCAGATAATCCAGAACTCTGCAGCCCGTGTCCTCTCCCGCACCAAATTCTGTGACCCCATCTCCCCCATTCTCGCCCGAGTCCATTGGCTCCCTATCCTTCAGAGGATCCAGTTCAAAATCCTGGTCCTCACTACAAAGCCCTCCATGGTCTCGTCCCACCCTACCTCTGCGACCTCCTAACCCCCTACCAACCCGCCCGGTCCCTCTGCTCAGCCGGTTCCAGCCTGCTCCACATCCCCCGACCCACCCGCCCCACCATTGGTGGGAGAGCCTTCAGCCACTCTGCCCCAACCTCTGAAACTCCATCCCCCAATCACTCCGCCTCACCCCCTCCTTAGCCTCCATCAAGTCCCACCTCAAAACTCTCCTCTTCGACCATGCCATTGGTCACCCCCCTTCCCCTCCGATCCCTGCTTCACCCTGACCCCAGCTCGGATCTGAAATGTTGTACACTGTCCAACGCCTTGGGACGTCCTCCCGACATGAAAGGCATTATCCAAATATAATCTTGTTGTTGTTGTCTACGGTATATTCTGTGAAGTGCTTTGAGATGTCTAGAAGATGTGAAAAGCGCTATATCAAATTCAAGGATTATTATTATTCCTGCTGTTTTTGATCTATATCAATGACCTGGACTTGTGGAAGCCAATGACAACTTATAAGAGAGGAGTAGATAATTATTTGGGGAGGAGAAGTTTACAGGGCTATGGGGAGAGCGCAGGGGAGTGGGATTGATTTGGATAGTTCTTTTAAAAAAGTCAGCACAGACACTATGGGCCGAATGGCCTTCTTTTGTGCTGTATAATTCTATGATTCTATGATAATGATAATGGTCACTTAATTCTTAAATATATATTGTATGTATAGGTTTACGAACTAAAGCTGCCCAAGTTAATGTGCTTGACCGAACACTGAATAATTGACTCACTGCAGGTTTTTCAGAACGCATAGCTGAACAAATAAGAAAATGTTCCAAAATCAATGCTTAACATCTCAATTCACTTGCTTGTGGTTACAAAAAACAAGCTGTAAAATTGTTTCTAACCCATGCTCTGAATTTGACCAAACTGCTCGTTGTTAGGCAAACTACAGTATATAAATGGATTGTTTTCTTTGATTGTTTTCTAAGCTGAAGTATCAATGGTGCAAACAACATGGCTGTTCCATACACATCTGTACCACACAACAGAGGTTTATAGATTGGGTATAAAATGACAGAAAAATCTTTTGGATATTCTGGTATAAAAATATCTGTACGCAGTTTGTAGACATGATTTGTCACAAAATGTATGTATAACATATCACAAGATAGCCAAATAATTTATTAGGTTAGTCATCTTAGAACTGTAATCACTAATGGTCTTTAGTTTTGATTCTAGAGTTATTGCCTTGGTTGATCATCATGCCATCGGCCACCCCCCTTCCCCTCTCCTCCCTTCCCTCCCCAACCCCAGCTCGGGTCTGAAATGCTGTACTCTGTCCAGCGCCTTGGGACATCCTCCCGACGTGAAAAGCACTATACAAATGTAATCTTGTAGTTGTTGTTGTTGATCGTCAAGGCTAGTTTTCCATGTTGTTATTTTACCTCAAGTGTGCTACATGTTCATGCCTTGTGATCATTCTCATTAAACTTCTTAGTAAGTGAAAATGGTGTAAAGAGTAGTTTCAACTATGCTAAGGAACATGCATAATAATTTTTCGTTCTTGGAGTTCTGAATTCTGAAGCAAATCATGCATTCCTATCAGGCTTCCAGGTAATAGAACTGATAATTTATATCCTTGGATTGACTGCCACTTTATAAAGAATTCACTTGATCTGCATTAGATGATCCATTGCAATAAATATTGATTAACCCCCGCTCAAAGGGCTGAATGGAATATATATACTGTAGTGTATTAATTCAATTCAAGAGGTTTAAATGCATCAATAATAATACAAAAATTGTTTCACGTGAAATCTTCTCATTAGACAGGAAACTATGTTCCTCCTTCATTTCCGTTTGACTTGCCTCAGTTTGGGAATCAGAATGGAAAAAACACCCCATTGTTTGGAAAAGAGATGAGGATAAAACATTTTCTTCTGGAGGAGGTAAGACTTCTTAAAAACTCTGTATTTTGCAAAGATTTAAAAAGGACAAATAATCAATCCTCAATAGATAATCCCTTTGTAATCTGTTGCTATGTTCATTTGTTATTGCTGACAATTAACTTGTACAAATTTGTCGTTTCTGGTGGATAATGTATTTCATCCCCTACCCTCCCTGCCCTCCACCCCTCCTGATCCCAATCCCCAGCTTGGGTGCAAACCCTTGACTGTCCAGCGCATTGGGACATCCTCCTGACGTGAAAGGCGCTATACAAATGTAATTTGTTTTTTTTGTTGTTGTTGTGGAATCAAATCCTAACATTATCCTTCCTATTGCTCTTAAATAAGGTGCCTCCTTATTTAATGTTACTATCCTTTATAACTTTTGGAGTTCTTCCCAATCCACCTTCGTTTTGTTGACCTGCTCCTAAAAAAACTTCTATCCTTCAAACTACTTCTCAATTGCCTCTTTCTCTGCAGTTTCTAAAATTAAGCAAATGGGAGTTAACTATTATTTCCTAATCGGATTCAGCCATGCTTCATTATGCAATATTGTTATAAGCCAGGCATAAGATGAGTGTGACAGCAATTTGGATGCACAATAACTTCCAACCTGCTGGAATTCAACAGCATGGGGGATTTAATGAACAATAGCTCATTAAGGTGTATCAGATTTTCTCAAGTTAATGTCTCTAAAATGAATTCTTGCTGTATCCACTCTGCTAACATTAGTAATAGAGCGAACATAAAAAAGCTCCTTCTTGTGGCTATTTTATATTCACAGTGACCCAGTCCTAATGTAATGTAACCCGCTGTTGCACCAACATACTGTAGCACCTCAATGGATACATTGTTTTAAACTGATTTAGCAATATGATGAAAGATTTAGCAATTCATATCATTAAACAAATAAACCGGTAGTTTATCTGCTAGATTTATCTGGACTTTGACACCATTCAATACATTGTTGCATTACTTTGTGGTTTGTTTACAGTTTGTTTTTGCTGATGCAGAAAATGAGAATTGTATTTCTAGTCCATGTTATGTTGATTTGGTCATTTGCTTTTTATACAAAAAAGCAAATGACCAAATCAACATAACAGACTCGAAATACAATTCAACTGATTTCTCTCCAGTGTGAGTTCAATGATAGTTTTTCATGTGTAACAGAGGACTTTCAATACACAGAACAGTTCAATAAGTTGCTGACACTGACCGTCAAGACTCACTCATGAATTAAGAGCCACTTGGATAAGGTACTGGCAGGTTCTTGTGAAACCGTACCACATCGGAAGAGAAAATTAGTCAAATGCTTCAGGAGAGGGGGAGAAAAGAAAATTAGCAGCAAATGGTTTTTGGGAAAAAATTGTTAAACAGAATATTTTCGAGTTTTCATAAAAAGTGGAATGTTAGGCCCACATTTATTTCAATAAACTAAAATTCAAAGACTTTGTCCCTCCTTATTTGATTAGTGGTTTTAACACCTCTTTCTGCTTAGATTCCCTGATATTGTGTTCTCTGATATTCCTTTGTCCCAACAGGAAAGGCAAAGGTGCAACTTTTAGGCCTCTCACATTCTGCACTAGAAGGAATGCCAAACAAATCACTTACCCTTATCTCTTCAAGTGGAGAATAATGGGAGCAAGTCCTATCACCCTAATGAGGAGTCTGTTATTGCATCAGTTGTACACCTCAGTGTGTTTATGCGTAACTTCATGGATGTTTGCCCTGTTTCATATTTTTTCTCCCAAATCAGTTTTATCGAGTGCTTGTTCTGAGGTTATGTTATAATGGTTTTATAAAGTATTTTTCCTGCAGCATAATGCTCCTTTCGGGTCAATGTTTGAATTTGTTAGTAATACTTTAGGCAGTGATTTCCCCATTTTTACTTATGTTTATGAATTCCCCAGAATGAAAGATATAAGATAGATAAGAGACAATTCTGGTATGCGTGACAGCTTTTCCTGAGGAATAAAACTGTGACGAGTCACTTGGCAGTCAGGCCTTCAGCCTTTCTGGCCCCACCCTATGGAACGCCATCCCACAGAACGCCATCCCACATTCCCTTCGCCTCGCTCCTTCCCTCATCCCCCTGATGGTGCTTTACAAATGTAATATTGTATTGTATTGGACCGTATTCTTGTCAATGGTACCGACAAATACATTTTCCAAACAGTACCTTTTCATTCTTAGAATCTTCTTGGGAATATTGATTTGTTGTTCATTGCCTCTCCTCCAGCATTCATTAGATGTACTAAACAATAGAAGGAATTGCAGAATCACTTACCCTCGGCTTTTCAAATTTGAAATAATAGGAGCAAACCTCACTCTATGGCAGATCCTCATTCCAGACACTAAGTGTCAGGATTAAACATTTCCAGAGCACAGCCAGCAGCAGGGAATATTTCCTTCTTCTCTTTATCCCAATGATGTGATAGCCTTTATCACTAAAAGGCAGCCCTTGTTGCACTGGTGTGACACATTTACCGCACACCATTCTTGAGGCTTTCGTGAGTGATCGGGCTAATTCAGTGTCAAATTAAACCTAGTTGTATGTTGTTGTTCCAGAAACTTGGTTGAATATGTCCCAAGTAATATCGTGTGAGACTTTTCCTCTTTTCTTCATTGATCTTTTGCAGATCTTCTCACCGTGTGCTGTGGGTTCAAACCAATTTATGGGACTTAAGTTTCTTTTATTCAGTCCTTATCAGCCTTGCTCAAATTTAGCCTTGAAGAATTTGATTCACTTTCTTGATTGGACACTTTCAGTGAATCTTATCTAATCACACATATACTGTACTCTTCCACACATAATCATTTTTCTACAATGAAAACAAGCTTAGTAATCTACAACTTAAGAATCACAGAATTATCCTTGTTGCTCTTGAACTCACTGCAATGTGTCAATGTACTTGTGTCAATATGTACAATGTGTCAAAACTCTGCGCAACTTAGGCATCAGGTTATCCTTCATCCCCGGTTATCCTTCCTTCCCCCACATCCGGTCCCTGGCTAGGACTGCTTTCCTCCACCTCCACCACATTGCTCGTGTCCTACAATACCTCACTCTACAAGCTGCTGAAACCCTTGTCCATGCCTTCATCACCTCTCGGCTGGACTACTCTAACGCCCTCTTCACTGGTCTCTCCTCCTCAAATATTCACAAAATTCAATTCAACTCATCCAAGACTCCACTACCGGCATTCTCACATGCACTACAGTCCGCACCCCGATCACACCAGTCCTTGCCAAACTCCACCGGCTCCCTGTCACTGAGTGGATGGACTTCAAGATTCTCACTCTAGTGTTTAAATCCCTTCATTCCTTGGCACCCCCCCAATCTCTCCAATCTCCTCTCTACTCACAGCACTACCCACTGCCTCCGCTCTAGCTATGGCTTCCTCCGTGTTCCTCGAATCTTCCGCTCCATCATCAGCGGCCGTGCCTTCAGCCGTGTCTTCAGCCCCGAAGCTATGGAACTCCCTCCCTCAATCCCTTCGCCTTGCCCCCTCTATCCCCATTTTCAGGTTGCGCCTGAAAACCATCCTCTTTGACTGTGCCTATGGTCACCTTTCCCCTTCATCCTGGCTCAGATTCGGGCTCCACCATTGTTAAACGCTCTGGGATGCCACCCAGTGTGGAGGGCGCTATATAAATGCAAGTTGTTGTTGTTGTACTTATGATGATACAATTCCTTGAATGCTACACAATATTACCAATGAATTACACAGGGTGAAAATAACATGTTTCAATTTCCAATTAGATACTTACAAGATATATTCCAGCTCTTGATTAATTGTATTGCCCACAAATTGAGAGATTTGAATAATTCATTAATTTGCCTTCACCTGTTGCAAATCAAATAACAATACAATATAAAATTACATTTGTATAGTGCATTTCACCTCAGGAGGACGTTCCAAGGTGCTGGACAGTCAGGGATTTGGACCCGAGCCAGGGGACGGGATCAGGGAGGGTGGAAGGCAGGGAGGGTAGGAGAATGGCCAAAGGCTCGGTCGAAAAGGAGGATTTTGAAACACACCTTGCAGGAGGTAAGGGAGGGAGCGAGGTGAATAGAATGCATGGGCATTATCTTGCATATTTCCTGCATTATATTGCACCTGTCCTTCTTTTAGGCCATATCAAATGCAAGGATTATTATTATATACCTTACTTACATAGAATTACATAGAATATACAGCACAGAAACAGGCCATTCGGCCCAACTAGTCATTTATGCTCTACATGAGCCTCCCACTGCCCTTCCTCAACTAAGCCTTCAAGCATAACCTTCTCCTGCATTTTACCTCATGTACTTATCTAGCTTCTCCTTAAATGCATCTATGCTATTCGTCTCAACTACTCCCTATGGTAGCAAGTTCCACATTCCTAACACTCTCTGGGTAAAGAAGTTTCTTCTGACCTCTATTTGATCTACCTATGCCTATTTTATATTTATGGCCCCTAGTTTTGGTCTCCCCCACAAGTGGAAACATCTTCCCTATGTCTACCCTATCAAAACCTTTCATAATGTTGAAGACCTCTATCAGGTCACCCCTCACCCTTCTCTTATCAAGAGAAAAGAGTCCAAGCATGTTCAGCCTTTCCTGATAGGTATAACCTCACAGTTCCAGTATCATCCTTGTAAATCTCCTGTGCACCTTCTCTCTCCAGTGCCTCTATATCCTTTCTCTAATATGGGGACCAGAACTGTACACAGTACAGTATATGTGTGGTCTAACCAAGGCTCAATATAAGTTTAGCATAACTTCCCCTACCCCTCTAGACATGAACCCCAATGCTTGGTTTGCTTCTTTTATGGCCCTACTAAAATGTACCACCTCACACTTATCTATATTGAAATTAATTTGCCAATTAAATGCCCATTCAGCAACTTTATTAATGTCTTGTTGTAATTTGTTGCAGTCCTCCTCAATATTATCTACACTCCTCAATTTGGTGATGTGGAGTCCTGTAGCTCAGTGGTCAGTGGTCAGTGGTCAGAGCACTCGCTTTGCAAGTGAGAGACCTGAGTTCAATTCCAGGCAGGGCGAAACCTTGGGCAAGTTTCCTTACTCCACACAGAGCCTAATAATAATCCCTCCAAAACCAAAAACAATAATAAATTGGTCATTTTCAATCTACGACTGTTTGTGGGACATTGCTGTGCGCAATTAGCTGCCGCGTTCGCCCACAAATATACAGTCAATTCACTTTACAGTGTGTTCTGAGAAGCGCTTTGGGACGTCCTCCCGACGTGAAAAGCGCTATATCAAATGCAAGGATTATTATTATTATTATTATTTATGTCCACAAATTTTGAAATCGTACTTTCGATCCTCGAGTCCAAATTGTTAAAGTAAATTGTGAACAACAATGGTCCCATTCCAATCCTTGTGGAACACCACTTCCCACCCTCTGCCAGTCTGAGTAGCTACAACAACAACAACAACTTGGATTTATATACCCTTTACACCTACTCTCTGTTTTCTTGGATGTTTTCTTGTAGCCAGCTTGTTATCCATTCTGCTACTTTTCCCCTGACTCCACATGCTCTGACCTTATTCATTAGTCTATTATGTAAGACTGTTCCAGACTATCACATCTGCAGGAAATGTCTCTGGCTTGACATGCTCCAGCTCAGAATCATTAAGCTGGACTGTGAGTTAGACACACTCCGATAAATAAGGAAAGGGAAGGAATTTCTGGATAGTTTTATCCAGAACTCAGCCACACTCCAGAGGAAAGAAAGCACAGGTACAGGAATGGGAGGGTGTGATTGTCAGTGAGCAGGGTAGCGGGAACTTAGGAGAGGTAGAGAAGGAGGTCCCACAGACACTGGTCCTGTCCAACAGGTACAATGTACTTGATACCTGTGAGCACAAGGAGAAAGACTGCGGGGAGGTCAACCACAATACAGACCAAGGCACCACGGAGCAGAAGTCTGTCTGGGGAGGGGGAGGAGCAGAATAGAAATGTAGTAGTGATAGGGGATTCAATAGTTAGGGGAATACATAGCATCCTCTGTAGCCACGAACGAGAGTCCCAAAGGGTGTGTTGCCTACCTGGGCCAGAGTAAGGGACATCTGGAGGCGCCTGGGGAGGAATTTGGAAAGGGAGGGGGCAGATCCAGTTGTCATGATCCATGTTGGGACAAACGACCTACGTAAGAACAGGGAGGAGGTCCTGCAGAGGGAGTTTCAGAAGTTAGGAGCTAAGTTAATAACAACAGCAACAACAAAATTACATTTATAAAGCGCCTTTCATCTCGGGAGTACCTCCAGTTAAAAGACAGGACCATGGGGGTGATAATCTCTGGATATTATTCCGCTCAATAAATAGTGTCTGTCGAACCAAATGTAAAATTATTATTAATAAAATTGGTCACTTCAATCCACAACGGTTTGTGGGACAACGGTCCTGTGCACAATGGCTGCTGCATTTGCCCACAAATATACAGTCTATTCAGTTTACAGTATATTCTGTGAAGCCCTTTGAGACATTTAGAAGACGTGAAAAGTGTTATATCAAATGCAAGGATTATTATTATTATTATTATGTAAGTATTAACCATTCTGCTTACTGATAGTCTGTTGTTGGGTTATTTTATTTACAATCAATCTCAATGTACAGAGCCTTTTGAAGAAAGTACAATTTGCATTCAAAATTTTACAAAGTTGCTTGCAAATTACTAACCAAAATAGGAAGAATGGTATTTAAATAGGGGAAATTACAATCCTTCGCCTGACTGTTTTGATGGTTGACCTGCTTTTATTTTTATTCCAGCTAAATGAATAATTGCTTTTAGGAATGGAAATGACTGACATGGTATCTGTATGGGTGAACAGGTCATTGTGATATAGTTGATGTGTGTGAGAAGATAAACCCATGTGTAAGTTGGGAGTAGTTAGATGGTTAGATGAAGACAATCATACAGTATTTTTAAAAAATGGTAGATTATTGTTGTGAAATTGTCTGTCTTCCTTTTCCAAGTGTACAATCCTGCAGAGGTTTTTTTTAAATAAGGAAAATCAAATTAACGCACCGAAAAAAATAAAATGTGAGTTTAAACTTTAATTTTTCTAAATAGCAGTTTCTATTTGATGCAGGAAACAATCTTCATTAATCACGGTGCTTTTGGCAGTAGCTTGAAAGATGCTCTGGAAGTTGCACAGGTGAGATGTGAGTGATATTAATCTCTTTGTTTTTTTTCAAAATCATCACGCAGTTTTGGTTCAGAAAATAATACGTATTTGGCATTCCAAAAAGGCATTCATGAGAATTGCATTGAGTAAATCAGACAACCTGGCAGTGAGAGAATTGTGATTTGGTTAAGACCATGCCTTATGAAGGAATTACGTTACAGAATGTGGTGATTAGGTCAATTGAACCTCCTCCATTGGAGATATCTACTCTAATCCCAATTGCCTGCGCAAAGAAATTCTTCGTGATTTCACTCTTAAATGGCCTGGTTCTAATTTTAAGACTATTCCCCCTTGTTTTGGATTGGCCAACCAGAGGAAATAGCTTCTCTGTATCCATCGTATCAAATCCCTTTATCATCTTAAATACCTCAATCAAATCACCCCTCAACCTTCTAAAATCAAAGGAATATAATCCAAGTTTACGCAACCTTTCCTCGTAATTTAACCCTTTTAGGCCTGGTAATATTCTGGTGAACCTGCGCTTCACCCCCTCCAAGGCCAATATATCTTTCCTAAGGTGTGGTGCCCAAAACTGAACGCAATACTGCAGATGGGCTCTATAAAGCTGAAGCATCATTTCTTCCCCTTTGTATTCCAGGCCCCTTGAGGGAAAGGCCAATATTCCATTCACCTTTTTGATTACATTTTGCACCTGGGAACGAGTTTTTAGTGATTTGTGGATATGGACACCCAAATCTTTTGGCTCCTCCACAGTTCTTAATTTCTCCCCATTAAGAAAATGCTCTGCTTTATCTTTTTTCGGTCCATAGTGATGACCTCACACTTCCCTACATTGAACTCTATCTGCCACAGCTTTGCCCATTCACTTAATCTGTCTAAGTCTTTTTGTAACTTTTTATTCCCATCTACACAATTTACTGATTCTCCTAGATTAGTGTTGTCTGCAAACTTGGATATAAAACTTTCTATTCCTTTATCCAAGTCATTTATATATATATATATATGGCGAACAGCTGGGGTCCCAGTACAGACCCCTGGGGGACACCAATTGCCACATCCCGCCAATCAGAGAACGTTCCCTTTATCCCTACTCTCTGTTTCCTGTCTTCCAATCACTTACCAAACCAAGTCACAAGGTTACCTCCGACTCCACGTGCTTCCATTTTTGCTGATAACCTTTTGTGTGGAATCTTATCAAATGCCTTCTGAAAGTCCATATAAACGACATACAAGGACACTCTTCATCTTTATCCACCATTTTAGAGACCTCCTCAAAAAATTGAAGTAGATTAGTCAGACAAGACCTACCCTTCACAATCCCATGCTGGCTCTCTTTGACTAGCTCATACGTGTCCAAATGTTTAGTCACTCTGTCCCTGGTGAAGGATTCCAGTATTTTCTCTACAATTGGCGTTAAGCTGACAGTTCTGTAGTTTCCTGGTTTCTCTCTCCCTCCCTTCTTAATAAAGGGGTGACATTCTGAATTTTTCAATCTAAGGGCACAATTCCCAAATCTAATGAGCTTTGGAAAATTATGACGAATGCATCTGCAATTTCCTCTCCTATTTCCTTTAACACCCTGGGGTGGAAACTATCAGGTCCTGGAGATTTGTCTATTTTGAGTCTCATTATTTTCTCCATTAACATATTTTTATTTATATTAATTTTATTAAGCATTTCCCTTTGACTTATTTTTAGGATCGTGTACGTCTGTTTGTCTGCATCCTCTACTGTAAAAACAGTAGCGAAGTATTTATTTAACAAGTCAGTCGTTTGTTTATTTTCCGTTATAGTCTCACCTACATCTGTCTTTAACGGTCTTACATTTCCCTTGACCATTTTGTTTCTTTTAATATATTTATAAAAGCTTTTACTAGTGGTTTTAATATCCCTTGCAAGCTTTATTTCATATTCCCTTTTTGCTCATCTTATTACTTTCTTTGTATCCCTAAGTTGCCTTTTGGGGTTCTCCCAGTCCTCTGCATTCCCACTTTTTCTTGCATTTGTAAAAGCCTTTTCTTTTAGCTTGATACAGTCTCTAACCTCTTTTGTCCACCATGGTTGCTTAACTACACGATTGGAGCTTTGTATTTTATGGGTATGTACTTGTTCTGTATTGTATCAAATAATACTTTTGAATACTTCCCATTGTTCATCTGCAGGTTTACCCACTAACAGTTCAGCCCAGTTTACTGTGGTCAATATATTTCTCATCCCATCGAAGTTTGCCTTACTTAAATTTAAAACCTTGGTTTGGGACTCTCCCTTCTCCCTCTCAAATCTAATGTCAAATTCAATCATATTATGATCACTATCTGCAAGATGTTCCTTTTCTGTCAGATTGTTAACTCGTTATGGCTTATTACTCAACTCCAAATCCAGTATGGCTTGTTCCCTTGTTGGTTCTAAAACATGTTGTTCCAAAAAACTGTCCTGAATACATTCTAGAAACTCGTTGCCTTTACTACCCAAGGTGTCCTGCTTCTCCCAGTCGATGTGAAAATTAAAATCTCCCATTATAACTACATTGTTTTTGCTACATGCTTCCCTCATCTGCGTATTTTTACATTTCCCCACTACATCACAACTCTCTGGAGGTCTATAGACTACTCCCAACAGAGTCTTTCCTCCTTTGCTGTTCCTTAATTCTACCCACAGTGTTTCCACTACCTGATCGCCCTTACTGAAATCTTTCCTTTCTATTGCTGTAATAGTGTCTTTTATCAATATTGCTACTCCTCCTCCTTTCCCAATGTCCCTGTCTTTTCTAAACATCTTGTAGCCTGGAATATTTAGTTTCCAGTCCAGCCCATCTTATAACCAGGTCTCCATAATGGCTACCGGTCTGTAAACTACAACTCTATCTGCTGCACCATTGGGATTTCTCCCTTTGAGACATTTTAATATTTTTGAATCTACAAAAATGCAGGTTCTTTCATTTAAAATCAATGCCAATTTTAACCCTGTGAGAGGTCAATTATGCTGAGTGAAGTTGTGGTCTCCAGTTAAATTGTAAATAATAGGAGGAAAACAGAGACAACGGTATATAATGTGAGGCAGAGATTTGTTTAAACTGACTTTGAAGGCCTAGAACGTTGAGCTATCATTAGTAGTAGTAAAGAGAGGGATTTCTGATGATAAAATCTGTGAGAGTAAGAGAGAGAGAGAGCATTGAAATGAAGAGAAATAATCTGAGACAGATGGCAGGATTGAGACGAACAGGGCAATATTCAGATAAGAAACCTGTATGGCGGGTTGTAAAGTAGTGAAAACCAGCACTAACAACAGTGCAAACTCACAGATAACAGGACTAGTTCTTCCAGTGAAATTGCTCCTCAAATATTCAAATTGTACATTTCATTGCTTTCAAAGAAAGGCCTCTGGTATAGAAAGGCCTTGAAGGTATCTAGACTAGTGCTCGGCCTATGTCATTGAGAAATACTGCTCTGAATCACCAGACATGATATCACTTTTTTGTTTGCTTTAAATAATCAAAATTTTTAACTGTTACAGAAATGGCAGGTGTATATTGAACGACAGCCACTACGGTTTTATGACAGAGAACTGCTTCCTCATCTGGTCTTTGTCACCAAACGATTAGCTAAGTTTGTAGGTATGAATTATTACATTTTTCTTTTCTCTCTCTCTCTCACGGATAAAACCTAGTTCTTTGCCAGTCTGACGTCATCACTACAATTTCACTCAACATTGTACATTGTGATTGATATTTATGCTGTCTTGCAGGATGCTCCCCCACTGATTTAGTCCTGGTATCTAATGTTACCATGGCAATGAACTGTGTGGTACGAAGTCTGGATTTGAAGAAGGGAGACACTGTATTCATGCTCAGTGTGACTTATGGTATGTTTCATGGTATGAATTGATGATGAACATTGATCGTTATCTAAAAATTATCTTTTTAAAATAAAACAAATGAAATAAATAAAACTACTTGTAAACTTCACTTTCAGCAATAGCTGATGGGAAATTTCAGTGGGAACTCAAATTTCTCTGCAAAGTATTTATGTTTAGTTTCTTTAAGTGTATTTTCTCAGTGCACTGGTACATTTTAAACTTGAACTTTTCACAGTGAGAATTGAACTCTAGCTCAACAACAGAGTTCTTTTCTAATGTTGTTTATTATGAAGTAATAAACAACAAATATACAGTCAATTCACTTTACAGTATATTCTGTGAAGTGCTTTGAGACGTCTCAAAGATGTGATAAGGCCCTATATCAAATGCAAGGATTATTATTTAGCTATGTGGTGGAGGGAATATCACAAGATCAGCTCAAATAATTAAGAATCATTGTCCCATTTCATTTAATCTTTACCGAATACCATATTCCCATCTCCCATTGCAGCCCCAAGCTGTTTCTGAAATGCGTTCAGTGTTCACCCTTTGTGGTGAACCTTTCCATCTAATAATTACCCTTGGTATAAAGAAAAAAAGCCAATCATTATAAAGTGACGGTTGGGGTCCATAAAATACCAGCCAGTGCTATAATGGTGCATATCACCAGACAACATTTTCACATTCATTGTGCAAATGTGCAGAAAGATGATGAGCTCCATCGATCCGGCAAAATAATGGCATGGACAGGAGGAAGTCAAAATGGCTGACTTTTGAGTCAGCAGGTTGTTACTGATGTTACTTCCTGTTGCACACACAGTCTTGATGACTGAATAGTGTACTACTGTTCCTCTGTCCACTAAACTTTTTGTTACTATTAGATGGTAAGATTTCGTGGAATGTTTTTTAAATTAATTTGAACATATTAACAATTTGATATCAGTGGACTGCATGTTTTATGAACTTGAATTGGGCTCTCTTTCTAAGTGGTGAAGCCTTTACTAGACTTTAACAAAGTGATAGATGCTAATAAATATATTAATATGTAGGCTTATGGTAACCTACATATTAGTGGAGGTATTGCTTTTGTGACACAGGGACTATGACAACAATTTGCATTTTTATATTGTGCCCTTCACATAGGATAATGTCCCGGAGAGCTGTACAATTGCAAGGGGTCACCAAGCAAAGGGGGAGGGGAGGTGACTGTAGGAATGGTCAAGGAAGTATAATACAATACAAAATTACATTTGTATAGCCCTTTCTTTCTTTTAGAAAGAGGTGGATGTCCCAAGGCGCTGAACAATCATGGATTTGGACCCGAGCTAGGGAGGGGGGTTGGGGTAAGGGAGGGTGGAGGGTAGGAGGGTGGCCAAGGCACGGTCGAAGAGGAGGGTCTTGAGACGTGCCTTGAAGAAGGCAGGGGACAGGGCAAGGCAAAGGAAATGGGGGATGGAGTTCCAAAGGGTGGGGGCTGAGAGGCTGAAGGCCCGACTGCAATTGGTGGGGTGGGCCAGGCAATAGACGTGGAGCAGGCAGAGTCTCCTGAGTGGAGGGAGCGGACAGGTTGATAAGGATTGGCAGGTCACAGAGGTAGGAAGAGACAAATCCATGGAGGACCTTGAGGGTGAGGATGAGGATTTTGAACTCTATCCTCTGTGTGATGGGGAACCAGTGGAGTCGGCTGAGGGTAGGGGTGATGGGGTCACGGAGCCTGATGTGGAAGGGGATACAAGCTGCAGAAATCTGGATGATCTACAGCTTGTGGAAGGAGGAGTTGGGGAGGCCAACACACAAGGAGTTTCCATAGTTGAGCCTGGATGTGATGAATGGGTGAATGAGCGGTTCGGCCACCTGAGGAGTGAAACAGTGGTGGAGTTGAGCAATGTTACAGAGGTAGGGAAGGCAGGGCGGGTTATGCTGCAAATGTGGGGTAGAAAGGATAGTTGAGGGTCAAACAAGACCCCAAGGTTCCGGACTGGCTTAGTACGGTGGAGTGTGTAACCATGGATGGTGATGCTGTCAGCGCCTGAGGTGAGGAGGCGCTGATGGGAGCCAATCAGGAGGCACTTGGTCTTGTTAAAGTTCAGCTGTAGAAAGTTGGCTCTCATCCAGGACTTGATGTCCGACAGACATTCTGTCCACACAGCAGTGGTCCTGGGTGGAGGCAGAGAGGTAGAGTTGGGTGTCATCCGCATACATGTGGAAGTTGACCCCATGTCTGCCGATGATGTAACCAAGAAGGAGCATATAGATGTTAAAGAGGAGGGGACCAAGGACAGAGCCCTAAGGAACGCCACACGAGACGGTGCGGGGACTAGAGGAGAAACAATTTGTGGAGATGAAGTGGAGACGGTGTGAAAGGTAGGATCTGAACCATTCAAAGATAGAACCATGAAGGTTGAAGTGAGAGGAGAGGCGATGGGTGAGGATAGAGTGGTCAACTGTATCAAAGGCAGCAGAGAGGTCAAGGAGGACGAGGAGGCAGAGGGAGCCTTGGTCACAGATGGACAGAGTGTCATTTGGCACTTTGACCAGGCTGTTTCTGTGCTGTGGGCACAAGTAAATCTTGAGGTAAGATTTAACAGCAGGTAAAGAGGGGGCAAGGTAGAGGGATAGAGGCAAAGAATTCCAGAGTTGAGGGGCATAGTAACTGAACACTCAGCCACCATTGTTGGAATAGTCAATCAAATCTATTAAACCAAATATCTATTTAACAGCAATAAATTTAAATATTTCAAAGGGAGGACTAAATACAAGAGAAAAAATACCACAAATCATTCAAAGCTTGTAATCATCCTGTTACTGAAATGAATTTCTTGATGCAGTGATTTAGGACCTAAAGCAGGGCAAAAGTAGTTCATATCTCCCACTGATTTCATGCTGCCCCCTGAAGAAAAGAGGCAAAACTCCCTTCTTAAATATGTACAGTTCTCTTTGACCCCTTGATCCTGCCAAACAAATCTTCAAAGCAGATGGTTGATACTGCTTTTGAACTGTTAAATGCAACTCTGCCTCGAGTAGCCTTGTTATAAGTGTGGTGTTCTTGAAATGATGCTACATCTGATATGCAAAAATACAGAGGATGTTCTAAAACTCATTAACAAGAGTTACATATATAGTATCGAGGTGCTGGGTTCTGAGATCTTTAATCACAGATTCCAGACTTTCTGATCATACAAACTGTGATTTAAATTCTCTTTTTCACACTTACTTCATATCCGAGTAACGCTTATAATAACATTTGTGAATGCCTGTATACATCTCTTTTCAAGGCTGAAAAACTCTGTATTATCCAGTAGTTTTTCATAGGATGACCCTTGAGCACTGTGCAATGAGCTGCATTGCTCTCTGCATTGCACCTGGTGAGCAGCATTGTATTCAGTACTCCAGGTGCAACCTCACTAGAACACTGTAGTTTTAGCATGACCTGTGGGGATTTGAACTCAACTAATTTGGCAATGTTAGCACAATATCCTGTTCACTTCGTTTATAACTGTCTCACTCTGTTATGATAGCAAAGAAGGAGGCAATTCAGCCCATCATATCTGTGCTGCTGCTAGCTCCTCTGCTAGCTGTTACTCTGATCCTATCTTGCTGATTTTTCTCCATACCCTTTAATATTTTTTTCTTAAGCTATCAAATTCATTTTCAAATGCTGCTATGGACTAAAACTCTTTTTGTCTGATGATAATATTTAATTCATAAGGGAGTGTAAATTTATTACATCTTAGGTGGAAAATTAATGCTTCAGTTAAATGCAAATATAGATAGTTGGTTTGGCCTATTAAATATTTTAATAAATAGTTTTATGCTCCTCAGGTGCTGTGAAGAAACTTCTTAAACAGGTTTGTGAAGAACGAGGGGCTAAATTGCAAGAAGAAAATCTGGAGTTTCCACTACTAGGACCAAGCCAGGTGCTGTAGTCAGAGAAACTTTATGCCGTTTAACTCCCATCTTAATTTGGCAGCAGGTATTCCAGGTTTCCCTTGCACTGAATTAGAGGCACCATGCTTTTAATGTACATTTGCAATGGGAGAGTAAAGAGACAAGTGAGAACATGGCTGTTGTTCAGACGGATTCTATTAACATTGATGTAATGTTGCATTTGGAAGACAAGAGGAGCTTTTTAGGCTCAATCTTTGAGTGTGTCAGAAAATAGAGTGCATTAAAGATTTTCCTTCATTTACATGTGTTGTGCCTTAATTTGTAAGCAAACATGACAAGTAATTTGCTCATAATAATGTCCTGCAAAAGGCCACAAAGTAAAAGATCAATTTCTTGGAGGTTTGTTGGCTGGGAGAGCAGGAGATATTCCCTTCTCTTATAGAAATAGATTCATTTGAATTGTTTATGCTATCATTTGGATTAGGGAGGAATATTGACCAGGTTACATTATTATTACATTTAAATTACTTTATTATTACCATATTATTTACTACCCTTTGAAAGGATACAGTTACAATCTTCTCAAGTTTCAAGGTGACCGCAACACATGATGTGTAACTTTGGGTAACATTTTGTGCACTGAGCCAACTTCCCAACTTTCTCTTGTTGCAGAGCCACTCCACAGTGGTCCAGAAGTTCAAACCTTTGTTAAAGTAAAGCAAACAACAATGTTGTACATTTGTAATTACACAAATGGTTCATTGCCATTTATGTACTGGCCAATGCTTGCATAGAGGTAGTTTCAAGGGAAACTGAGCTCCCCCAAAGCCAGCCTTGTGGTTGCTCATCCTGCTCAAATAACCAGGCAAACTGTATTAACATATGCTATGTTAACTTCAGGAAATTTGCCTTTACCAGGGAGGATAAATGATATGATTGATGTTTTCTCTTTCTTAGATTATCACCAAAGTGAAGGAATGTTTGCAGCCAGGGACAAAGTTAGCTGTGTTTGACCACATTCCAAGTAATGCTCCGTTTATAAATCCATTACCAGAAATCATCGACATTTGCCACCAAAGGTAATGTGCAGAACAATCTGATTGAATTGTTTGGGGGCAGTTTGAGGATTATGAGGCAGAGATATTCATTGCATTCTTCACCCTTCATAGAAATGATTTAGATTCGTATGATGGAGATGAAATGAATAAAACAATCCAGTGATGTCCAGAGATAGAAATGCAAATCGGAAAAAAATTACCAAACAAAAAATACTTTTGTGTCTGTAAATTGTACATATGATAATGTATTCCTCTGTTCTGATTTGTTTACAGATATTAACTAATATGAAAGCAAGAGCTTCAGTATACTAAATAAAGCTGATTGATTGCACGACCTTCTCTGTAAAAACAGTTAAGCCTAATTACCAAAAAGTCTGTTTCTTTTAAGATATTATTTTTCTGCTTTCTTTAGCTGAGTGAAACATATTAAATGATAAACTTTTGGAGTTTTTTTTACATTAACATGAACAAGATGCTGATGAAAATATAATTTGATTAGCAATTTGTGTATTATAATCTCCATTTAACTCCCCAATTCTATTTTTAGCATTTGCCAGGCCTCTTACATCACAGACCCTCTTCCAAAGGAAGTATAAAATGATTTAGCTCACATACACTATAGCTTTAAATGCCAATCTGTGAGAGCCTGTACAGCAGGAGACACAATTAACAATGAAATTAAAAACATTGAGTGGGTATTGGCTAAATACAGTTATTTTAATCAATACTCATTATGAGTTGCTCCCCTTAAGATCGCATACTGTAAGTTCACATACATATGGTTCCATTTGGTTTTCTAACTGAGAAGTAAAAAATAAAATCACCAAAGCAAAATGATTTTGACCATAGCCCGCCCTATACCTACTGGTCAAGAGACAAATGTTTAGACTATTGAGTTGATCAGTTAACCCAATATGCTTTCCTGCTGAGACAGAACAGTAACCTCTTAGTTCAATCACTTTCAAGACTCAGGAAAAACTCTCCACTTGATAAAATTCTTTGATTGTAATGAACAGTAGAATTACACTTTTGTTTCGTGGTACAGACTGTGAGGACACAATTTAATCTCTTACTCCGTTCCCAATCAGAATAACGTCAGATAGTAAATTGTTAGGTTTAGGTCACAGTATTTTCCTCCAGGACTGACGTAAAAATACGAAATCAATCAATGTTGAAAAATAAATTGAGCAGATGTGTCCTTCATTAAAGCGAAGGCCCAATTTTAAAAAGTGTGGGCTATGCCAAAGTTTTGTTCTGAAATATTGAAGCAGACATATAAAATGTTAGTTAGATATACAATTATCTGTGTAAATTATAATTCATCATTCTATATTAATCCACAGAGTAGTATTTTTTCAAAACACAATTATGTTATATTTTTCCTAAAATAAAAAATGTCATGTCGCTATCTACCTGGAGTTCAGTGGTTAGAGCCCTCGCCTTGCAGAGAGAGCTGGGTATGATTCTTGAAGGGCGAAACCTTGGGCAAGTTTCCTTACTCCACGCACCTGATAATAATCCCTCAAGAAAAAAAAACAATAATAATCTGGTCACTTCAATCCACAGCTGTTTGTGGGACACTGCTGTGCGCAATTGGCTGCCGTGTTTCGCCCACAAATATACAGTCAATTCACTTTACAGTATATTCTGTGAAAACGTCTAGAAGACGTGAAAAGCGCTATATCAAATGCAAGGATTATTATTATGTTACTTATTACCAAATTAATTAAGGGAGAGAAAACAGTACTAAGTACTTGGTACAACAACAACAACAAAATTACATTTGTATAACGCCTGTTACGTCGGGAGGACGTCCCAAGACGCTGGACAGTCAGTGTTTCGGACCTGAGCTGGGGATCAGGATCAGGCAGGGTGGAGGGCAGGGGGGGAAGGAAGGTGGTCGAAGGCACGGTCGAAGAGGAGGGTCTTGAGATTGATCTTGAAGGAGGCAAGGGAGGGGGTGAAGTGAAGGGACTGCAGGTTGGAGTTCCAGAGGGTGGGGGCAGAGTGACTGAAGGCCCGCCCGCCAATAGTGTGGTGAGCGAGGTAGGGGACGTGAAGCAGGCCGGAGCCCACTGAGTGGAGGGAGTGGTCAGGTTGGTAGGGGGTTAGGAGATCACAGAGGTAGGGGGCAGCAAGGCCATGCAGGGCTTTGAAGGTGAGGACCAGGATCTTGAACCGTATCCTCTGTGTGATGGGAAGCCAGTGCGAGGATGGGGGTGATAGGGTCATGGAGCGGGAGAGGATACAGACTGCAGAGTTCTGGATGATCTGGAGGGAGGAGTTGGGGAGGCCAACAAGCAAGGAATTTCCATAGTGAAGCCAAATGCGTGTATGAGGGTTTCGGCGGCCTGCGGTGTGAGACAGTGGCGGAGCTGGACGATGTTGCAGAGGTGGAGAAGGCAGAGCGGGTCATGGCGCAGATGTGGGGTAGAAAGGACAGTTGAGGGTCAAACAAGACCCCAAGGTTCTGGACTGGCTCAGTGAGGTGGAGTGTGCAACCATGGATGGTGATGCTGTCAGCGCCTGAGGTGTGGAGGCACTGACGGGAGCCAATCAGGAGAGCCTCGGTCTTGTTGAGGTTCAACTGAAGAACGTTAGCTCTCATCCAGGACTTGATGTCCGACAGACATTCTGTCAGCACAGCAGTGGTCCATGTGAAGATAGTTCAGATAAATCACACATTAGGTTATTTTATCTGATTCTCATGAAATGCCTATCATGTAATGTTGCAAAAGGCAGTTATTTGAGATTGTGGGAAAAATACTAACAGCAGTGTTTTCTTTAGGTTTATCCCTGAGGTAACAATCAGGGGTTTACCATAGCAGCTTTGTGAAGGTGTTTATTACATATAACTCAAGCATGATTCTAAATTGTACATACAATATTATTGAATCTTTCATGTTGATATTCATTTGCTTTATTCACAGTTTAATCCAAATACAATATTTCTGAACAATTAGAACTTTTGTTTAAAATGTAACCATCAAACATTTTATTCATTTTTGAAAAATTAAGGATTATTACTATTTTATATCTGTTACAGGGGCACAAAAGTGCTAATTGATGGAGCCCATGCACTTGGTGTATTGGACCTGGAACTCAGGCAAGTTTTCCAAGTATGCCAAGCTAGTTAAATTCAAACAATTCCCCAACACTCTTACTAACCTGCGCCTAATACTCTGCAGAATTAGGTAAACAGGGTGCATCCCAGGGAGAGAGTGCACATTCCATTCCAGACACAAATAAGTTCCCTTATGTATGTATAACTCTGTTTGGTTTGGATATTCGTAAGCATGGTGATGGGTTTCTGCACTGACAAACTGGCATTATTTCATATACTGTTGTCTATTTGTAGTCTAACCATCTGTGTCTTAGGTCCTTAGGTGCTGATTACTATACATCCAATTGCCATAAATGGTTCTGCAGTACAAAAGGTTGTGCTTTCTTGTATGTGATGCCACAACTCCAGAACAGTTTACGCCCATTGGTGATTTCACACGGCTTTGGCTATGGGTTCAGCTCAGAGTATATTTGGACAGGTACAGACACTCAACAGCTTTTAGATCTGCTATTATTTCAAACATTGAACAATTTTGCTTCAAACAGTTAGACAGTATTTGTCATTATACTGTATATATTTGTCTAGCTCTACACTATCTGGTATACCACAGCTTCTGGTGTAATTTTGTTTGCCCCCTTACCAAAGTAGTAACTGAGTACCTTCAAAATACAGCCGTATTACAAGGATCTAATGTACGTCTCAAGAGTAATTTAAGAAATGTGGTTCAACATGACGGCTCAGAGAACAATAAAGCAATATTATACTGGAGCCATCCTAAATTTACTAGATATCAGTACTATTATTTATACCTGGTACTATTATCCAACCTCAACCAGGTGAGTTAAAACACCAACATATTGCATTTATATAGCACTCTTCACATAGGATAACATCTCAGAATGCTTTGCAGTGGTGGGATTGGACGCTGAGCTCGGTGGGGCAAGGGGAGGGGAGGGGTGGGGAGGTGACCATAGGTCGAAGAGTTGAAGAGATCAGTTTTAAGGTGGGATTTGAAGATAGATAGAGAAAAGGTGACTTGGAGGAATGGATGTGAAGAGTTCCAGAAATGTCATAATAGCTGAAGGCTCAGCCACTGATGTAGGTTTGGAGCAGGCAGGAGAGTGCAGCAGGCCTGTGTTAGCTTATGTGCAGAGGGGCAGGCATGGGATAGGTACAAATCGTAGTGATAGGAATGTGGCAGTCCATGAAGGAATCTGTATTGGAGGGTAAGGACCTTGAAATCAATCTGTTCAGAGACCAGTGTGACAAGAGTTGTGGCATGATGAGCATTCGGAGTTTGGTGCAGATGAGATTGCAAGTGGCAGAGTGTTGTATGAGCCGGACCTTGTGGATGATGGAACTAGGGAGACCAACTAGGAGTGACTTAGTGTCCTTAGGATTAGAAAAATGAATAGGGCTTTTGCTGCTGATTATTTTGCAGAACATCAGCTAGAAAACATACAATTACCCCCTTCCCTCTGGAGTCACACCCACATGGACAGAGGCACCCTGGCCCACTACCAGAGAGCTGCTGACATCAACACAGTTAATCGTTGAAAGGGAGAGGATGAAAACAAGGCAGAAGAATTTTGTTTGGAAGATTACAATCTAAGTAATAATGTAATAGTGTTCCTGTTTCTACCTTACAAATCTGATATTTAGTTGATCAAAGACATTCGAGATTCTGACCATTTAATAAATCGTATAGGATTCTTCTCTTCCTATCTCTTCAAGGTTTCACCAGGCTAGGCATAATTCTCTGCCAAATTGGATTGTTGGGAACCTGCTTCCTGGCCTCCTACTGCTGCTCTTCATATGACCGCTGAGTAAACTGTAAGAATGGCTCACCCACTGATACACTTTTATTATTTCTCGCTCTCTGTGGTGAGCCCTTGATGTGTATTTCAGGTCTACCCCAGGATTGGAAACTTGATACATGGGTCACTGCAGCCTTCAACCCACACCCTACAGCTCAATGCACAGCATGTTACACTAAGCAAGGGAGTAACTGTAGAGAGAAAGTTTATTTTCTTAAAAGAGGTCCCTCTAAAATTATAAAATGGAAAACATTTGTTTTTCAATGTGTTTTCATTGGCATAAATATTGCTTTTAAAATTATTTGAGTGCTGTGCAAATTAGTTGCCGTGTTTATCAACATTCACTTGATTTAAACTTTTGTGAAGTACCTCAAGCCACTCTTTTATATGAAAGGTGTTGTTAGTTGGTGCTGATATAATTGAAATTACATTAGTTCGTGAAATCTACTTCCAAGCAACATTTTCCGGTATAATCTTCAATTTAAATACTTGGAGCAAGTTTATGAGTCCTTCCAACAAAACTCTGAAAGAAGGTTGCAAAAATATGGAAATAATTTGGTATAATGGTTTATGGTCTTCTATACTTTGAAACTTAGCAAATTATATATACTAAGAGGAACAGCAGCTCTGATGAACTCAGTTAGCATCATGAGGAGGAGAAATTCCATGTCCCACATCCTGGAGGTAGTTTGTGCTTGCAGTGCATAAAACAATGAGCTGATTTTAAAAAAAGCCTTGTTTTGATTTAATTTATTTAAATATATGTTTAATCGCTTAGCATCTGATGTTTTGGCAGACATTATAATTGTGCCCCAAACAAGACTGCTTTACTGAGAATTGTGTTGTGCCTTGTACACACAAGCTTGTCATATTGGTGTAAAGAGATCGTTGTACATCCAGTTCAGATACCATTTTACACTGTTTTGTTTAGCTGTTAATTTTTTTACCTCTGAACAGGCAATTGTTTATTCGTTGTGCAAATTAAGAAGGCTGTAAAAATAAGTAGTGCATTTACTTACAACAAATATATATGTTCATTTCAAATAGGATTTTGTAAATTAGGCTCAAGGTGATTTGAATTTATTATAATAATAATAATAATTCTTGCATTTGATATAGCGCTTTTCACGTCTTCTAGACGTCCCAATGCGCTTCACAGAATATACTGTAAAGTGAATTGACTGTATATTTGTGGGCGAACGCGGCAGCCAATTGCGCACAGCAGTGTCCCACAAACAGTCATGGATTGAAAATGACCAATTTATTATTGTTTTGTTTTTTTGGAGAGATTATTATTAGGTGTGTGGAGTAAGGAAATTTGCCCAAGGTTTCGCCCTGCCTGGAATTGAACTCAGGTCTTTCACTTGCAAAGCGAGTGCTCTAACAACTGAGCTACAGGACTCCACATTATTATGCAGTATTTCAACAACTATTTGAATGAATATGTTAAAATCTTATTTCAGGTTTAAAAGACTACAGCTCTTTCCTAGCACTTCACACAGTGCTGGATTTCTGGGAGTCAGTTGGCTTGCAGAAAATTCGAGGATACATCCAAGACCTTATGTCACAAGCTGGTGAGCATAATAAATATGATTGTATTCTATAAACATGTTACCAGCTGGTTATCGGGTGCTTTCTGTGCGGGTTAAGCCAGGCAGTTGATCAGGGGAGATGTCACAGCCAAACCTGATATTATCCAGGGCTCCTTGCATTATAACATTTCTTGCATTTGATATAGTATCTATAACGTCATAATAATAATAATATTATATATTATTATATATTATTATGTTATTATTAACTATAGCATCAACATTTCTTGAAGCACTTTATAAGTCATTTCTGTCAAGTACAGTAATTGTTTATTTCCAAGGTTTGACAAGAGTCATCAGAACTGAGAATACTGGCCATTTCCCCTCCTTTTTAGCCTAGGAGTGTTGAGATAATAATATAATAATAATCCTTGCATTTGCTTTTCTTAATTAACAACAACCAGTGTTTATAAAGCACTCTTCATGTGCCTGTTAAAGATCCTATGGGACTATTCAAAAGCAAAGGGCATTTCTCCTGGTGTTCTGGCTAACAAATTCCCAAATAAAATTGGTCACTCGTTCCATGGCTGTTTGTGGGACATTGCTGTGCGTAACTGGATGCCGAGTTTCACCCACAAAGTATAGTTAAACCACTTTACAGTATATCGTGAAGTGCTTTGAGACGTCTTAAAAAAACGATATAGCTCATTTGATCAGGTGCTGTATCGAATGCAAGGTTCATTATTATCTTTAATTCTTTCGATAGAGGACAACAATATGATCTGCAATACAATTTTCATTATCCTACATGTATCACTCCGTTCTGAAGTCCTCTGATTTTCACACACGTGTCTTTTCTGCCAAGTTGTTTTTTGTCAGTCGGGTGACTGACACATGTGGAGGGAGATTCCTGTGCTTGGAATGGAATGTGCATGCTTTCCCCAGAGGGTGCATCCTGCTTACCTAATTCCAGAGAGTATTAGGCACAGGGGTTTGTGGACCCCTGAGTGTGCTTTGGGGTACTGCTAGAGTTTAACCAGCTGAAACCACATTAGCTTGCCATTGAGAGCACAGCGACGCAAGCTTTCCTGCTGCTTGTCCAGCTCGGACCACACATGTCAGACACCCAGCTAACCTAAACAACAATGTTACATAAACTGTTTGAGAAGATTTCAAGTGGTTTAGCAGCAAGACTACTAGAGATTATTTGTATGTGGTTTATAAAGGTCACAACTGTCTGCCAATGAAAGGTTTGTGCTCACTCATAGAGAAACTTGTAACCCTTGTAAAAAGGCTCAAAATTGAACAGCTTTTGATATTTGCCTAAACATCAACTTGTCAACTTGTGAAGTGTGATAGTCAGTATTGGGAAAGAAAGATAAACCGATGAAAACATTGTGGGAAACAAAATCCTACTGTAATTATCTAAAGAAATTGACAATTTATACCATTTGAAACAAGCCTACGTGCATCATGGGGCATCGTTTCTAAGCACTCCTTAATCCTTCAGAACAGTCACATAGAAGCCACCGGCTCATCAGAAATACAACTATAAACAATTGCAATTAATAAACATGAAATATTTGTCATACAACACTCTGACATTAGTTGCATTGTTCCTGAAGAGTGATAAATTTTGCCAAATTACGTAGTTACATCCATCTTTTGTGTTTTGAAAGTGATTTTTAGTATTTGTTTTATCCAGTGATATTTTTCACTGTAAAATGTAAAATGTACATTTGTCCACTGCTCACTTTTTATTATGTCCTCAAGTTTGTGGAATGTAGTGCTGGGTCAGCAAGTCACAGGAAAAAGACGGCAGAGAGATAGAGAGAGAGACATAGAGACAGCAAAGGGGGTAAGAGAGTAAAGTTAGGAAAAAAGATCAGTTCAGATGAAGAAGGCACTTCATAGAATCATAGAATTATACAGCACAGAAGGAGGCCATTCGTCCCATCGTGTCTGTGCCAGCTCTTTGAAAAGAGCTATCCAAACCAATCCCACTCCCCCGCTCTCTCCCCATAGACCTGTAAACGTGTCCTCCCCAAATAATTATCTACTTCTCTCTTAAAAGTTATCGAATCAGCTTCCAGCACCCCGTCAGGCAATGCATTCCAGATCTGAATAACTCACTGTGTGAAACAATTTCTCCTCACCTCCCCTCTGTTTCTTTTAACAACTATTTTAAATTGGTGTCCTCGGGTTACCAACCCACCCGCCAATGGAAATAGTTCCTCCTTGTTCACCCTATTGAATCCCCTCATAACTTTAAAAACTTCTATTAAGTCTCCTCTTAACCTTCTCTGCTCCAATGAGAATAATCCTACTTTCTCTAGCCTCTCCTGATAACTGAAGTCCCTCATTCCTGGTACCATCCGGTAAATCTCCTTTGGACCCTTTCCAATGCCTTGACATCTTTCCTAAAGTGTGGTGTCCAGAACGGAACACAGTCTCTAGCTGAGGCCTAACCAGTGTTTTATAACTTCCTGACTTTTGTATTCTATGCTCCTATTTATAAAGTCTAGTATCCCATGTGCTTTTTTAACAGCTTTATCTACCTGTCCTTCCACCTTCGAAGATTTACTTATATGAACCCTCAGGTCTCTCTGTTCCTTCATCCCCTTTAAGATTGTACCATCAACTTATATTGCCTCTCCTCATTCTTCCTCTCAAAATGCATCACTTTGCATTTCTCCATATTAAACTTCATCTGCCAAATGTCTGCCCATTTCACCAGTCTGTCTATGTCAATTTGCAGTCTGTTACTATCCTCCTCACTATTTAATACTTTTCCTAGCTTAGTATCATCTGGAAACTTCGAAATTGTACTCCCTGTACCCAAGTCCAGGTTATTTATATAGATCAAAAACAGCAGTGGTCCCAATACTGACCCCTGGGGGACACCACTGCACACTTCCCTCCAGTTAGAAAAACAACTGTTTACCACCACTCCATGCTTTCTGTCTCCCAGCCAGTTCCGTATCCATGCTGCCACTGTCCCTTTAATACCCGGGGCTACTATTTTGCTTACAAGTCTCTTATTTGGCACTTTATCAAACGCCTTTTGAAAATCCATATGAACTACATCCACTGCACTACCTTCATCCACATTCTCCGTTACTTCATCAAAAAACTCTATCAGGTTTGTTAGACATGATTTGACTTTAACAAATCTATGTTTGCTGTCCTCTATTAACCCATATTTTTCTAAGTAAAAATTTATTTTGTCCCAGATTATAGTTACTAGAAGTTTCCCCTCTACTGACAGTAGGCTGACTGGCCTGTAGTTCCCGAGTTCAGCCTTCTGCTCCTTTTTGTACAGGGAAGTAACATTTGCAACTCTCCACCCGGTGTCCAAGGAGGATTGAAACAAATGGCTTTTCCTCCAGCCCCCGCACTGTCTCGTGCAGTGTCCCTCAGGGCTCTGTCCTCGGTCCCCTCCTCCTCACCCTCTATATGCTCCCCCTCGGTGACATCATCCGCAGACATGGGGTTAACTTCCACATGTATGTGGATGACACCCAACTCTACCTTTCCTCTTCTACCCTCAACTCCACGACCACCGATGTCCTGACAGTCTGCCTGTCCGACATTGAGTCCTGGACGAGAGACAACTTTCTTCAGCTCAATGTGTGTAAAACTGAGGCCCTCCTGATTGGCTCACGTCAGCGCCTCCGCACCTCAGGCGCTGACACCATCAGCATCCAAGGCTGCACTCTCCACCTCTCAAAGCCAGTCAGGAACCTCGGGGTTCTGTTCGACCCTGAGCTGTCCTTTCTTCCCCACATCCGCACCACAACTGGCACCGCCTTCCATCACCTCCAGAATATTGCCAGACTACGGCATTACCTCACCCCTCACGCTGCTGAAACTCTGGTCCACGCCTTTATCACCTCAAGGCTGGACTACGGGAACTCTCTCCTCGCCGGCCTTCCCGGTACCTCCCTCCACAAGCTGCAGGTCATCCAGAACTCTGCAGCTCGTGTACTGTCCCGCACCAGGCTTCGCGACCACATCACTGCCACCCTCGCTCGCCTCCACTGGCTCCCCATCCCCCAGAGGATCGAATTCAAGATCCTCATCCTCACCTACAAGGCCATTCACGGCCTCGCTCTCTCTGACCTACTATCCCCCTACATACCTGCCCGTACCCTCCGTTCCTCTGGCTCCCGTCTGCTCCACATCCCCTGCCCCAACCGCCCTACCATCGGTGGCCGGGCCTTCAGCTCTCAGCCCCCAGGCTCTGGAACTCCAACCCCCAGTGCCTTCGCCACTTCCTCCCTTTCCTCCTTCAAGGCCGGTCTCAAGACCTGTCTCTTCGACTGTGCCTTTAGCTCCCCTCTCGACTCTCTACCCCCTCCTCGCTCCCTCTCTTCCCTCCCCTCACCTTGACCTTTTCCCCCTTGTCGGGTCCCGACCCAACTGTTCAGCGCCTTGGGACGTCCTCCCGACGTGAAAGGCGCTCTATAACTGAAATCTTGTTGTTGTTGAAAGGTTGTGGCCAGAGCCTCCATTATTTCCACCTTTACTTCCCTCAGTAACCTAGGATGCATCCCGTCTGGACCAGGTGACTTATCTACCTTGAGCAAAGACGACCTTTTTAGTACCTCCTTTTTAGTTTATTCTTATCTTATGCAATTTCTCTACCCGCTCCTCTGATGCTGTGGCATTGGCTACATCCTCTTCTTTTGTGAGGACAGATGCAAAGTATTTATTCAGTATGCCAGCCATGCCCTCTGCTCTCTTTGGTCCCTAATTGGACCCACCCTACCTTTGACTAACCTTTTATTCTTTATATGCTTATAAAATACTTTTGGGTTCCCTTTTAGGTTAACCACTAATCTTTTTTCCATACAATCTCTTTGCCCCTCTTATTTCCTTTTTCAGTTATCCTCTGTACTTTCTATATTCTATTTGATTATCTTCTGTATTTTGGACCTGGCATTTATCATAAGCCTCCTTTTCCTATTTTATTTTAATCCCAATCTCTTTATTCATCCAATGAGGTTTGGATGCCCTACCTTTCCCCTTTATAGGAATGTATGTGTTCTGTGCCCGAACTATCTCCTCCTTGAAGGCTTCCCATTGCTCATTATCTATTTTAGCTGCCAATCTTTCTTTCCAGTCCACCTTGGCTAGGTCCCTTTTTAACTCACTGAAATTAGCCCTCTTCCAGTTGAGTATCTTCACCTTTGATTGTTCCTTTCCATATGTACTCTAAATCTAATGATATTGTGATCACAGTTGTCCAGATGTTCTCCTACTGCTCCACTTGCCCCACTTCATACTATCTGAACTTTATCCATTGATCATTAAAAAATAAAAATTGATTTCCACTTCCTCTAGCTTTAAATAAAACAAATTAATGTCAGGGTATTCAAGCAAGAACTGGGGAATGCTGTTAGCAGTTGGAACAATAATATGCTTGTTTTGATTAACGCAAAATTTACACAATAGTACTGTATAAAACCTACTGTTCAAGTAGTTGAAATAGTTCTGCTGACTGGTCCAATATTAACACTGGGGGATTTTAATCAATGTAAGATAATGCATTTTAGAATAGGAAACATGGGTACACAATGAACAAGTAGCTATTGGTAAAACATAGGAGGTTTGGGCATGATTATCATCCACTGAAAGAATCCAATGTTAAATAGTTATCAGTAATGCTAATCCAAGTACCAGGCTGCATCTTGAGTGCACTTTGTCATAACAGTTTATTTGGGTTCTGTGTAGTTCTGACCACCCATAAAATAGTGTTGCCATTCAAAATGACATTGAATCAAATGTAGGTGAGGGCTGCTCAGAGGCTTGGCTGTGGTCCTCCTCAAGGCTTTCCCTCCCAGCTCCCCTTAAAGAGGTGAGCTATAGACAGAGCCAGCCTCCCTCCCCCAGCCACCTGCCATCTATGTCGGGTAGCCCTGCTGAAAGCCATTGAAAGTCACTCACAGATGGACTGGAATAAATAATAGCCCAAACTGGCATTTAAGGTTAGGCCAATGAAAGGGAATCAAAACTTCTATCACTTGAATTAACTATTGCCTTAAAGCAATTTTTTCAACTGAATTCTCTTTAGATAGGGTAAAATAATGAATATAGATGGAGAACATAAAGAATTAAATCAATGTTCCCAAAAGTGGTGTAAACTTTGAAATGATTTCATGCTTACCAGCTAATGAAAGCTATGAGTAGGTAAGAGAATAGGCTAAAAAAAACACATTTAGCGAGAAATGTTTTAAAATATCTAGTTATAAGAATGTTTTTTGTCAGAATATATGCCCATGAATATGAGTTGCATGAGCAGGTGACAACACATACTGCTCTGAGTTCTGCACATTCCAATGGAAATGTGGCTGTCTCCCACGTAAACAAAAATTTGAATTGTTAATGCAGCTGATTCTCAGCCAGTAATAAAATAAGGCACAGAAATGTCCTCGCTTGACAGAATTCTCACTGAAAAAGCAATGTTGGACAAGTGCTTTACATTGAACTTTCTGATATTTCTATATTCAAATGATACTTAATAGCCACCCTCCTATCATCCCTCTGTCCGAACACCTCCTCATCCAAGGCAACTTCGACCTTCACTTCACCCCCTCCTGCTCTATTTCTGCTGACTTCTCCTCCCTTATCTCCTCCCTCAACCTCTTCCTCCACATGCGTTCCGCCACCCATGTCCGCGGTCACCCCCTTGACCTGGTGATCATTCAGGGCCTCACCATCTCGGACCTCACCATTATCGACAAAGCGATCTCGGACCATCACTTCATCTCCCTTAACTCCTCAATCCCTCTCCCCATCACCACCCAACCCACCTCCATCTCCTACCGTCCTGGAAAAAAATCTCCCCCAACCCTCCCCCTTGGCTGCCTTGGAGTCATCTGAACTCCTTCCCCTCTGGGCTTTCTCCTGCAATGACTATCCTCCTCGGTCATTCTTCTCCACAGCTCCCTCTCCTCCACTCTTGATTCCCTTACTCCCCTCTCTTCCTGAACTGTCTCCTACTCACGTAAGTCACCATGGTACACCAGCAATCTCTGCTCCCTTAAAGCACAGATGCATAACGCTGAACGCACCTGGCTTAAATCAAACTTAACGGTACATCGGCAGATCTGGCTGGATCTTATCAAATCCTACTGCTCTGCCCTCGCCTCCACTAAATCATCGTTCTACTTCAAGACAATCTTGGAGGCCAAGGACAATCCCAGGCTCCTCTTCTTCATCACCAACCGGCTCCTCCGCCCACCCTATCACGCCTCGCCCATCCTCACCTCCAATGTCAACTGCGAGAGGATGCTGGACTGCCTCAAATCCAAAGTTGAGTGGATCCGCTCAGCAGCCTCTGCTTTTCCATCTACTACACCCTCCCCATCTCCCCCTCCCACCCTGGCCCCTACCCATCTGTCCCTACACACCTTCGAACCTGTCTCCCATTCCTCTCTCACCACCACTATAACCCGTATGAAACCGACCACCTGCTCCCTCGACTCTATCCCTATCCCTCTCCTTACCTCCCAGTCCCACCTCCTTGCCCCTCTACTCACTGACATCATAAGCCTCTCCCTGTCCACTGGTACTGTTCCCACCCAATTAAAAACGGCCGTCATCACTCCTATCCTAAAACAACCCTCCCTGGACCCACCTCTGCTCTCAAACTACCACCCCATCTCCAACCTCCCTCTCCTCTCCAAGGTCCTGGAATGAGTTGTTGCTTCCCAGCTTCGCTCCTTCCTCTCCTGCCACTCCTTTCACGAACCCCTCCAATCCTGATGTGCCCACAGCACAGAAACAGCCCTAGTCAAGATCCTCACTGTTGTATTCAAGTCCCTCCACCCCCTCCCTCTCTCTCTCTCCTCAAAACAGTACCCGTTGCCTTCGTTCCTCTGGGTCTGGCCTCCTCCTCGTCCCCCGAGTCCTCCGCTCCACCCTCGGCGGCTGTGCCTTCAGCCACTATGCCCCGAGGCTCTGGAATTCCCTTCCTCACTCCCTTTGCCTTGACCCCTCTCGTATTACTTTCAGGTCCCTTCTGAAGACCTTTCCTTTCGACTCCACCTTTGGTCACCTTCCTCCCCCTCCCCCTGGCTCAGTCCCGGGATTCGTTACTGTGTAGCTCTCTGAGATGCCGTCTGGCGTGGAAGGCGCTATATAAGTCCAAGTTGTTGTTGTATTGTTCAAAAACACATTTATTTGTGACAGTAAGAGAACCCTTCAGCTGCTTGTGATTCTGACACTAACTGAATTATTATCAGTCATGGGAATCAATTGCGATTTTTTTCCTAATTGGTGATTCACATTCTCAGATTATTTAAAATCAAACTGTAATAAATTTATAAAACAAAAACAGAAGTTGCTGTTTTCAGATTTTCAGCATCTGTAGTATTTTGTGTTTTGTAATAAATTCATAATGTTTATTGCCCTTTTGGAAGAGAATTGGAGAATTGAAGTAGGAATGAGGGATCCACAGTGAATGTTTTCTGCTGGGTGTATACAAAATGTCTTATATTATCTGTGTTTTTTTTCTCTTTATGTTTATTTCTCTTTGAACAACTGAATTTTATAAATATTACAAACTAATCGGTGATTATTTTCTCTTTGTTCAGTGAATTTACTGGTGGGCCAGTGGAAAACAAGGCTGCTCGCCCCCAGAGAGATGTTTGGCTCCATGGCATGTGTTCAACTCCCGGAATGCCTCTTTCAAGATGGATCTGCAAATTATGAGCAAGGAGAGATTATCCAGAATGCTCTTTACAGACAGTATGACATTGAGGTATTCCAGTTGGTAGATTTCTCTGCAATGGGAATGTTTTGCCCACCACTCCAAAGTTGTGTTTATCTTTTGTCTATATTCCCAGCATAATAATTTTACTCTCTCACTCAAAAGTACCGTGTCACTCTGTAACAGTACTTGGAGGCCCAGTCACTGCACTTTACAGTAGATCCTGGGAAACACTTTGAGACGTCCTCCCGATTTGAAATGCAATTATTATCAACAGGAACCATGGGTCGAGGGTACCCATGGTCAGGACTGTCAGTTAGTTGCTTTACCTGCCCCTCTCCAGACAGCACACTCAGCTCCTTTCCAGGACCATCCACAAGCTTCCCTTTTGCAGGGAGTCTGGATTATTGAGATTGTGCGCCTTTACGCCACTAGAGGGCGCTTGGGCTTTTTTTTTAGCTAAAACAGTTGGACAGCTTTTATCTGAAAGGAGAGATAAAATTGGTTATAGTGATAATAACCCTTGCATTTGATATAGCACCTTATCAAGTCTTTGAGATGTCTCAAAGCGCTTCACAGGATGCAATAAAGTGTAGTGACTGTGTGTTTGTGGATGAAACACAGCAGCCAATTGTGCACAGCAGAAACTGCTGAATTCTATTTAATCTTAAAAGTCAAAGCAAGAAAATGCTTTGTGGACAAAAAAAATGTTCTAACTTTAAAACTGTAGGTGGTAACTCAAAGCTGATTTAAAAAAAAAATCTTTCTGCCCATGTGCCATTGATTATTGTTGATTATTATAATTATTATAATTATTGTTGATTATGATTATTATATATTGATTATCATGTGCCATTGATATTGTGTAGCTGGTTTAGATTGAGAAGATTGTCTTGTGCATATTTAGAGACTGTATTTCTTGTAACTAATAGGTGCCAATCAAGGCTTTGGGAGGAAAGCTGTACGTTCGGATCTCTACGCACATCTACAATGAACTGAACCAATACCAGAAACTGGCTGATTCTATTGAAGAAATAGCGCTGCAGAATAAGTCTCTCCCCTCACCTACACCTTGTAGACAGAGCAGTTGCAGTTTTCCATGATGATAGTGTCCAGAAATAGTAATCAGATATTTTTCCTTGCCGCATTGGTAAACAGTTCCTGTTACATTTCTGATACTAATAGTAAGAAGTTACCACTGGAAGCACCAGCTCAGAGGCAGGTTTGCATTATTACCATGAACAGAAACGGCGTATATAAAGTTGTCCAAAAATCCCAGTAGGTCTTTAAAAACAGCAATACATAAGATCAGAAGGTCTAAAATGTGCTGTGTTCTTAGTTTTCAGACCATTGTCCTAAATTTAAGATTATGCAATATTTGGAAAATTATTAATTTCAGTCTTTTTAATTTCTATGAAAAACTGTCTTTCAATTTAAGTCCAAGTAGGGTTTCCAATCTGTAGTACAGTAAACCTCACATAAATCGTATCAGTTGGGACCATATATTTAATATGACTTATGCAAACTATGAGTTATGTCAAACTTACATAGAATATAAACTCTTGAATGAAACTTGTAAAATAAATAACAATCCTTGCATTTGATATAGCACCTTATCACGTCTGCGAGAAGGCTCAAAGTACTTCACAGAATATACTGTAAAGTGGAGTAACTGTATATTTTGTGGGTGAAACGTGGCAGCCAATAGCACACAGCAGTGTCCCACAAACAGTCGTGGATTGAGTGACTAAATGATTATAGTTTTTTTAAGGGATTGTTACTCCTGGAAAAGTGATCCGCCAATCGACTAACAATAATATAATAATAATTCTTGCATTTGATATAGCGCTTTTCGGGTTCCTACATACTTCAAGGTAAACAGAGGCGAGTGGAATAAGGAAATCCAGATTATTGTACAATTTAGGCAATTCTATAACTTATACAGATATATTAACATATATTCCTCGCATTTGATCACGTCTTCTAGTCATCTCAAAGCGCTTCACAGAATATACTGTAAAGTGAATTGACTATTTTTTGCGGGCAAAACGTGGCAGCCAATTGTGCACAGCAGCATCCCACAAACAATTGTGGATTGAGTGACTAAATTATTTTCTATTTATTTTGATGGAATTATTACCTCTGAAAAAGCGATCCGCCAATCGACCCACAACCGGTTTCCTACTTAGTGCTAAGGTAAACAGAGGCGTGTGGAGTAAGAAAATTTGCCGAATGTTTCGTCCTGACCTATCAGACTTATGCGAGTTTTACTGTACAATTAATATTTTTTGAGAGTGACTTTATGGAATTCAACAGCCAGATTCAACAAGAGATTGTGGATCTATACTTATCAAATGAACCATATATACAGAGGTCCAGACATTTGGGGGGGTGGGGGGTAAATATTTAAGTTATGGTGCCAATGGAAACTGGTTCAGTTCCATTTGGTCTGCTTCCTCGGTAAGATAGCCCTTTTTCTAATGTATTGAATTACAGACTGACCACAATGAGTGAAACAAAGAATAGAAGCATTTCCTTCTGAAAAATTCCAGTACCTGCAGTTTAAATTTTAAAAGAAATAAGAACAACTCTTTGTCTGTGACAGTTATGTACAAATGAGTTATCAGAACAAGCAAAGTACTTTGTTTGATTCTTGGAACAAAAACATGTCCTTTGAAATGCTTTAATCAAAATTGTTACTGTAGCTTACCAGTAAAATATTTGTAAAATAACATCTTTGTTATTGGAAATTGGTCTGTGAATGTGGATTTCTTCTGAATAAATGTGCAATATAATATTCCTTTTATGAAATGTAGTGGAGTTTATGAGGTTAAAATCACAAAGCTTCATTTGTGTTATAAAGTTGAGTTTTATGTATAGGGGTACAAAATACAAAAATAATGTGCTGTTACATTTCTAGATAATAATAATAATCCTTGCATTTGATATAGCACCTTATCAAGTCATTGAGACATCTCAAAGTGCTTCATAGATTATAAAGTGGATTGATTGTATATTTTGTGGTATTTTGTGTTAGATAAATTGGATTAGGGCAAAGATCGGACGACTGCATTCATTTCATGAAACAGTACACCTTAGTAAATTCATAGGATTCTATTCCAACAATAAGTGTCACATTGTTTTGAAGATTGAAATGAAGCTAAATTAATTCCCTCCTCCCATTTCACATGTCTAAACAATTTAAGTGTTAAGACACAAAAAGATCTCTAATATGTTCAGCTCATAGGACGTGAAAGTGTTTTGCTGAAGTATATAATTTCCGACACAAACATTGAAGTTTTGAAAATCCATAGTGAATTAATTATACTGGGGTCTAATGTTTGGGATTCGAGCTGAAAAGCTACTTCATGGTGCACCTCTGGCCCACATGAATGCTAGCTACTCAAACAGTGATCTCATTCTGGCTGTGTATAATCACGATATGGCTGAAGGAATTAAGGAGAAATATTGTTCAAGATTATGAACGGTGTTCCAGAGCCTCGGGGCATAGTGGCTGAAAGCACAGCCGCCAAGGGTGGAGCGGAGGATTCTGGGGACAAGGAGCAGGCCAGACCCGGTGGAACCATGTAGCTATTACTAATGTAGCTAGTAATAGATCTAACAGGGAGTTAAGGAGGAATTTTTTCATGCAGAGGGTGGTGACAATGTGGAACCTGACGCTGAAAGCTGTGGTTGAAGGAAAAGGCGTCAATATATTTAAGAGAAAACTTGATGCACACACGAGGAAGAAGGGAATAGAGTGGTATTGGTGAGAGGGATAGGAGGTTCCAATCTTGTGTATTGTACAAACACTGTCAGAATGGCCTGTTTAGGTGCCGTATGACTCTATGTAACCAGGAGTCCAACATTTTACAGATGAAAAATCGGAAATGGATGGAGAAAAAAGTAAACGTGGGGTAGAAGAGAGGGACAGAGGAAGGGAGCTTGACCCAAAATAGAAGCCGATGCATGTACACAAAGAGGATGTTCATTGTTGAGGCCGGAATTTGGATGGGTTTGGAGCTGAACTGTTTTTAAGCCTTGATAGTGACTGTTGGTCGACTGTTAGATGGCTTCCCATCATAGAGGATACAGTTCAAGATCCTGGACCTCACCTTCAAAGTCCTCTATGGTCTTGCTCCCCCTATCTCTGTGACCGCCTAACACCCTACCATCCTACCTGCTCCCTCCGCTCAGCAGACTCCGGACTGTTTCACGACCCCCGCCTCGCCCACCCACCATTGGCGGGCAGACCTTCTGCCATTCTGCTCCACCCTCTGGAACTCCATCCTGCAGTCCCTCTATCTCACTCCCTCTCTTGCCTCCTTCAAGACCCATCTCAAGACCCTCCTCTTCAACCGTGCTTTTGATCTCCCTGCTTCCCTCCACCCTCCCCAATTCCGACCCCCAGCTCGGGTTCAAAACACTGACTGTCCAGTACCTTTGGACGCCTTCCCAACGTGAAAGGCGCTATACAAATGTAATTTTGTTGCTGTTTTGGGAACATTGCACCCAGTTCTCATTTTATGTGGCAATAATGTATTGTCCAATATGGCTTTTTGTTCAGCCATTTGGAGCAGAGATCCTGGTTATAATGCCCTTCCCCAGCTCAGTTAATCCAAAGTCAAAAAGAATGTTTCTACTGCTGCTCTTTTTCTGAGACCAGGTAACTTAGCACAGACACTTGTAGTTTTAATGTGCAGAAGATTAGGAAGCATTGTGGAACTGCCAATTTGAAAACCAATTCACTGCACCATACAAAAGAAGAATGTGGTTTGCAACTATTTCCTACACTGAAAATTCTTACAAACAGCTCTTGTGAAAGGGTCAAGTGTTTCTCCACATTAGGGAAATAATAATCCTTGCATTTGATATAGCGACTTATCATGTCTTCGAGACGTCTCAAAGGGCTTCACAGAATATACTGTGAAGTGAATTGACTGTATATTTTGTGGGCGAAACATTATAATAATAATAATAATAATAATCCTTGCATTTGATATAGCGCTTTTCACGTCGGGAGGACGTCCCATAGCGCTTCACAGAACACACTGTAAAGTGAATTGACTGTATATTTGTGGGCGAACGCGGCAGCCAATTGCGCACAGCAGTGTCCCACAAACAGTCGTAGATTGAGTGACCAATTTATTATTATTATTTTTTTGAAGGAATCATTACTCCCGGAAAAGAGATCTGCCAATTGATTGACGTCCAGGCTCCTACTTACTGCTACGTAAACAGGGGCGTGTGGAGTAAGGAAACTTGCCCAATGTTTCACTCTGCTGGGAATCAAACCCAGGTCCTCTTGCTTGTGAGACGGGTGCTGTAACCACTGAGCTACAGGACTCCACTATATAATAATCCTTGCATTTGATATAGCGCCATATCATGTCTTCGAGACGTCTCAAAGCACTTCACAGAATATACTGTAGTAAATTGACTGTATATTTTGTGGTGAAATGGTCTAGTTACCTGCTTAATTGCAGATCAGTGTGCGAGAACTACACAGAGCATATCAGCTTCTCTATTTAGACTCCAGAGCTGAATTAGATCTCTGGGTTAGGGATAAGAAAATGAAATTGTATTCCTGTTCCTGATGGCTCTCTTGTGACCTCTGCTGGAAAGTGTCTCAGTGAATGTTGCTTGTGAAGTTGGCTGCTCTGAAAAGGCACTGAAACAAACTCTCTAGTGACACTCAGTGTCCAAATGGTCCAATGTCACATGCAAAATAATGACTACTTAGATAAGATTCAGCAAGCATCTCGTGAGGAGGGAGACAATTGACCAAATACCTATTGGACTTCCAGATAATTGAGCTAAGTATGGATATAGAATACATTTATTGACTGACCACTAGATGCCACCTTATCACAATGAAATTGGAGTGGGTATAATAACAATCCTTGCATTTGATAGTGCCTTATCACGTCTAGATGCCTCAAAGCGCTTCACAGAATATACCATAAAGTGAATTGACTGTATATTTTGTGAGCGAAATGTGGCAGCCAATTGCGTGACCTCAATGATTATACTACTTGATATAATTCTCCCTCTCATCGCCCCACCACTCCCCGAAAAAATTCACAAAAATTGCACCTGTACATTTAAGTTGAAAAAGGATTGGTTTGATGCTTTGTCTTTGAAGCGATTTTTTTTGGCAGCCTGGTCATGGTCAGTGTAATAAACTTACCATGTACAATGAGTCCTTTGTCAGACATTTCATACTGTTGCAAGATAAGTGGCTATGCTGGAAATAATTACTTACCGGAAGACAAGTTGCTGAATGGAAAATACAGCCA